GAGATGGAGATTTAGCTCAGCTATAGAGCGCTTACCTAGCATGCATGAACCCTGGGTTCAACGCTCAGTACCACAGAAATAAAAACAAAAAACAGGGCCAGGGATTTAGCTCAGTGGTTCCGGTGCCTGCCTTGAAAGTGCAAGGTCCCGAGTTCAATCCCCGGCGCTAAAAAAAACCACAGCTAATGGGTACAACTATGTGTGAGACCCTGGGCCCGGCACTGAAGATAAAGGGGTGCTTGTGGGGTGGCTGGGGGGAGATTACATAGATGTGACTCTGCCCCTTGGGCTAATGCAACAGGCAACTATTGACTTGGGGTTCTTCTTATTTTGTACATTCACTGGAACACTACTCCTCCTTGTAATAGTCATGTATGGCCTAAACACATGTGGTGGATGAACTAATGGTCAGCTGGTAACAGCCAGCTGAACTGAATCAGTGTAGTCTGGCCGAGAAGGATCCACCTGAGGATTGTTCCCAATAGCCATAAAAGGAGAACTGGAGGGGACAATCAGGGACTGTTGATTTCCTAGGAGAAGCTTGCTGCGTGGGTGGTTTTCCTGATGGAACTTGGCTGTTCTCTTGTGGGAGTTCGGGGCCTCACTGTCTCTGGGAATGACTGCTGTTCTCCTCAGGGGAGCTCTGATCTTCACCGTGAGCATCACTTCCGGGCTCCAGTGTGGATCCCCCAGCCTGGTGACACAAATCCTTCATCCCATCGGTGTAGGTTTTCTGGCTTCCACCACTGGACTTTGGGCCTTCCTGGTGCAGATCCTTAATATGAACAAGCATGAGACATTGCTGTGGGCTCTAGGCCACTGTCTGGACTCGTGGAGGACAATGCCTTGGACTCTAAGCCTTTAGCCGGACTTGTATGGCACATTGCTGTGGGATCCAGGCCCTTGGCTGGATTCTTTGGGCTGCTAAGTGTGCGGCTAATCTCTTGCACTCCCCTGCATTTGACTTTTTGGGTAAATATCATAAAATAATCCTATAAATTCTGTGTCCTGTATTACATCTAACTCCCTTGCAAAGCCTTGACTACAACACAGTAGGCTTATTTATTTACTTTTTTTCTGTAATACTGGGGATTGAACCGGGACCCAGGCTGAACTGTTGAATCACCTGTCACCAAGCCCTGGTATGGGCATGCTGTGCACTGTGGCACCACCAGCTCCACAGGCTGGCAGTACCTGGGCTCAGGCCTGGAATGTCTGTGTCTTTGTGTCCCTTGTTTACTTCCTCTTGTCACCCAAGGTTCTTGGGAAAGGCCAGTCTTAGGGCTACATCTGGAGGGGCCTCAGAAGGCGGTGGGGAAGCTCATGGAAGAGCATCGCTGGGTCACTGGGGGGTGGGGATGGGGAACCCTGCAGTGTTGCAATTTCCAACTTTCCATTTTCAAGGTGAAATAGTCCCCTGGAGCCGATGTAGCCTGAAGTCAGTCGCCCCCGGCTGGGAAGAGACATGGGCGAAGCTGGCTCTCGTGAGCCCCTCGTGGCTCCTTGAGTCTCTGTACTTGACCACTCGCTGCTGTAGCCCCACACTTCCTCCAAATAAGCATTCATTCAGTCCGGGGGATTTAGCTCAGTGGTTCTGCCGCCTGCCCTGCAAGTGCAAGGACCCAAGTTCAATCCCCGGTACCAAAAGAAAAATAATTCATTCGCGTGCCCATCTTCCGAAAATTATGAGGGTGGGCACCCTGACTTCCGCTCCCTAGATGAAAGCTTCAGCCAGGAGAGTGGGTCATGGTGAGCAGGACAGTCCAGCGATGCCAGTAGGAATGCAAGTAGCAAATAAAACTTTTTTTTTTCTTCAGACAGAGTCTCCCTAGGTTCTCCAAGAACTCATAAGCCTCCTGCCTCAGCCCCCCAAGGGCTGGGATTATAGGCATGTGCCACCATGCCCAGCTCCCACATCCCCATCCTGTATCCCACATCCCAAAACAGAGGTGGAAGTATAAACTCAAACGCTTGGCACAAATCCGATGAGATGGTTAATGTCCTAGTGAGCTGGGAAATGCTAACTAAAATAAGAACCTACCTTATTTCCAGTAGACTGGACAAATTCAAAAGCTGCCTAATAAGTGTTGAAGGGGATGTGAGGAAATAGGAGCTCTGGGCTGTTGCTGCCAGGATGTAACCTAGACCCATGTGTCACTAAGGAGACATGTGTGAGGCCGCCCCCTGCAGGCTGACTGTGGTATTGTGGACTCGAAGACCACAGGGTGGACATGCAGAATGTCAGGGACGTCCACACTATGCAAATTTATTCAGGAGAGAGAGAGGCAACTACTCATTGTACATATGGTGGAGCTTAACTGATGTGCAGTGAAAAAACTTAAGATGCAGAACAAGGACTGTAGCACAGACCCATTTAAATTAAAGACCCCGGGTTGGGGAGGAAATACCATAAAAAAAAAAAAGAAAAGTATGTATGTGGGTGAGAGTCGTGCATGTGCATGAGGTATCAGGAGACCCAGGCTTAACTCCCAGCTCTGCCATGACCCTCCGTGGAGTTCGGGAAGCTCCTCTCCCCGCCCAGCCCAGTCCTCTCATCTGTGTGATGAGATTAATCACAACTCCTGCCCTGCCCACTTCTGGGAGCCAAAGAGGGGATGAGTCAGTGAGCAAGAGTGTGCTTTCAAAAGGAGAAATGAGTACTTCCGTGTTCTTGTGCCTGTTTTCAACTGCCTTTCAAAGTGGGGGGAGGCCATTGTGCAGGTGTATGTGTATGTGTGTTTGTATACTGGAGGTTACACCCCGGGGCGCGTGCATGCCAGGGAAATGCTCTATAACTGAGCTGCCCCCCCCAGCCCTGTCTGTATCTTGTATTTATATCTGCATATGTACACACACATACAGAGATAGAGTAGTAGTATACGTGTATATATCCAGTGTTACTCTCTCTACACAGACACATACACATAAATGTTTTATTTTTTATTTTTTGGTACTGGGGATTGAACTTGGGTCCTTCAGCTTGTGCAGCAGGCGGTGAAACCACTGAGCTAAATCCTGGCCCAAATGTTTATGGCAATTTCTGTCAAGTAAAAACATGAAGGTGTGTCCTTCCCACCTTATTCAGTAGATCTGTCGCTAAGTGATTTCTGACTCTTCCCCAAAGTCAAAATGACCATGAAAGGAAAACATTTTGAAGGAATCTCTTTTTTGTTTTTTGTTTTTTTGGGGTTTTTTGGTACCAGGGATCGAACTTGGGACCTTGTGCTTGCGAGGCAGGCGCTGGAACCACTGAGCTAAATCCCTGGCCCCTCAGAAAACATTTTGAATTCATTAGGACATAGAGGCAGCCACGATGAAGCAACTAAAGACACTCACGAAAGAGGACTTCCAGAACTGCTTCAGAAAGTGGCAAGAATGATGAGATAAAAAAAAAAAAAAGAATGATGGGATAAGTGTGTTCTAATTGAGGGCAGTATTTTGAGGGGGATTCATGGCAATGTGTCTTTTACTGCGATACATTTTTGTTTTTTTTTTTTTTGGTACCGGGGATCGAACTTGGTTCCTTGCACTTGCGCAGCAGGCGGCAAAACCACTGAGCTAAATCCCTGGGCCTGCGATACATTTTTAACAGTTTAGATATTCACCATATTTTTTTATCATACCTCATGCCATATATATGAAAATCTGGATACACAGAGTCTACCAAAAAATGTATACACACTTCAGCAGTTTGCCATAGTAATAAATGACTGGAAGGGCCGGGGATTTAGTTCAGTGGTTCCAGCGCCTGCCTTTGCAAGCACAAGGACTTGAGTTTGATCCCCAGTACCAAAAAAAAAAAAAAAAAACAGTCTGGTGATGAAGCTCAGTGCAAAGGCCCTGGGTTCAGTCCTCAGTACTAAGAAAAAAACATACTCTGGGCCGTTCCCTGCTCCTTCCACACCATGGGAACACAGCTAGACATCACCATGTGCAACCAGGAAGGGGCTGTCACCAGACACGGAATATGCCATTGCCTTAATCTTGGACTTCTAGCTTCCAGAACTATGGAAAACGAACGTCTGTTGTTTATAAGCCACTCTGTTATTTTGTTATAGCCACCCCCAATGGACTGGGACAGTCAGCTTCCCCACCTCCACCCCAGTGCGGGCTGGGCCTAGAGAGGGTGGACAGTGCACGGCTCGCTGGTCCTTGGGCTGCAGGAAGGACCCTGCTCGGTACAGTGCAGCAACACTGAGAAAGAAGGGAGTCATTGTGCTGGAGGAGCAGGGAAACAGGCTGAGAAGAGTGAGCAGACTATTGAGGAGATGATATCTGGGTTTAGAAGTAGGTGTAGGAGTTTGCTTATTGGGAAGAGATTCCAGGCAGAGGCAGAGCACACTCGCAGGTCCAAGAAGGAAGCAGCAATGAGAGAGGAAGCCCAAACAGCATGATCTTGACCTTCACATACTTGGTGAAGAATGATTCTCAATTTTCCCCACCTCCACAAGATTAAAGGTTCTGCCCTATCCTGGTCTTAACAAACGTTCCATCTAGAAGCTTTTCTTATGAGTGGGTTGGATATCTGAATCCTACTAGGAAGCCCCTTCAGGGGAGGCCCCCTTCTCACCTAGGAATGAAGGCCACAGGTGATTGAATTTTCTAGAAAGATCTCACAAGGCATGATTTGAACTTTTGTTTTGAGCCAACTTACTATGTGGCCCAGGCTGGCCTCGAACTCATGGTGATCCTCCTGCCTCAGCTTCCCAAAGCATGATTTGAGTTTAAGGACAGGGGCTGTGGCCAGGTGTTGGGGCTGAGCTGAGTGGCTGGCTCTCCAGTCCCTGTGAGAGAGGGTCACACCTGCCCTGGCATCTGGCAGCTGTCTCGGGAGGGAGATGTAATGCCGTAGGCTGTGACCTCATCCGGGCTCTGCAGGCTTCCACCCTCCTGCATGCCTGATTCAGAGAGTAAGAGAACTCCTGTCTCCCAAGGCCAGGGCGGGCGTGGCTGGGTCCTCACTGGTCTCTTCGCACCCCTCCCCAGTGAGGCCAACCAAGTCCTGGGGCTCACAGCAGATTCGGGCCCCCAAAACCTGTCTGACCAGTCGTAAGGGAGGAAGGCGCATGGGGCGGGGCGTCTGCGATGCCAGAGGCAGTGCCCCCAGCCCAAAACGGCAGAGCTGCTGGGGCTGTGGATGTGGCAGAGGACTCGAGGACAGATGGGGAGAGGTACCCGGATGCTCTACCTGGCCATGGGGTTCGGTGGACGGTCCCTGCTCCTGTCTCCACTGTGGCTGCTGCTGACCTGGGTCCAGCCCGGGACTGGTGTGGGTGAGTGAAGCTGGGGGCAGGGGCAGGGGCAGGGGTTCCCCGGAAGTCACAGCATCAGGAGGATACACCCCTACCCTGGCTGCCTTCTGAGCCCCTCTGTTGGCTGGGGACTGGGTCCCAGGTAGGTGAGGGGGACACAGCCCGCCTCAGTCAATCATAACTCTGACACCTGTCCCCTGTCTCTCTTTTTGGGGTTCTCATGCTCTAGGCTGCCCTCCTTCCTCTTTCCTGTCCTGGGCAGTGGTTTAAAGAACTCTGTGGGGACCAGCTCACCCCAGAAGCCTGTGAGGAGGCTATAGGCCCCTTCCTGCCTCCAGCTCTGAAAGATGGGCTGAGGGAGAACAGCACCCCCACCTCTGCTGCTCCTATTCTCTTCCCTTGTTAAGCAAACAGTAGGCACCTGCTGCACACAGCATGCCCTGGGGCTCTGAGCTAGGCCTGAGTTTGGAGGAAGAATCAATCCCCCCTTCCCCATGCCAGAAGGTTCTCAAAGGCTCTAGCCTGAATCTTTGGAGTTGAGTTAACCCAATGGGAGTGAATTATACAGAACTGAACTGAAGGAAAGGTGTGGTTGTTGCTGAGCTTCACATAAAAGCCCACTTTGCTGCTGTGCCAATGTTTGGGGCTAGGGAGAGGGGGGGACATTGTGGAGTTTCCGAGTACAGGGAGGAATGGGGGGGGCAAGGCAGCGAGGCTGGACATGGGCCATGTTGCCCATCTCGCGTCCCCTCTGATGTGTGAGACCATGAGGAATGGGGGTGTCCTGAGGAGAGGTGACTTGGGACCGCTGTGGGTGGTAACATGAGGTGGCAGAGAACTGGGTGGGGAAGAGAAGAATGTCCCAGACCGGGCCTGTCCCTGCCCCAGAGCCAATGGTCCCCTCTGGCTGGTCCATGCCAGGCCTGGGGAACAGCCAGGGGCCTTGCTGGGTCACCCCCTTCTGAGCTTCATGCCTTATCCAGCAAACCGTGGGAGGAGCTGGAGGGACTCTCATGGCCCCTAGGCATGTCAGGAGCAGAGTCCAGCCTGGGGCCTGGGGTCCCCCAAATCCAAGTCTCACCCCAGCACAGCTCAGGAGTGTTGAGCCTGCAGGTGGGGAAGGGACCATTGTACCTCTGTCCATCACCCGTCTGCCCTTCGCTGGGCCCTGGGAAACCCCAATGACACAGAGGGGACAGGGTGGGGCCCCCGACCTCCCACAGTGCCCACCCCTAGGAGGCCCCCCCAGGGAAGGCCCAGGGGCTGAACCTGCCACCCACCCCTGACCCAGGGGTAGATCTGGGTCTTCCCTTTCCACCAGCCTCTTCCCTCCCTAGAGCACATCAGCTACGTGCCCCAGCTTTCCAGCGCCGCCCTGGCAGGGAAGCTCACCCAGTCCACCTTTACACTGGAGCAGCCACAGGGCCAGTTCAACCGCAGCAGCATCTCTGACTCTGACTGCATCTGGCTGGTGGTAGCCTACAGCAAAGGTGGGTATGACTTCGGGGGGCTGGCCTGTTTCTTCTCTGTGACATGGGCTGGCAGGCTTGAGGGGAGGGGAGTTGGGGACAGGTGCTAGGGGAACATAGCTGGCGGAGGACGGTCTGGCCTGGTGGAGGGGCTGGAGTCCCACCTGGGCTACCTTACCATCTGACCCACGATGCCACCCTCAGCCATCCAGAACTTTGTTGCCCCACCGACGACACAGGACATTCTTGTCCCTGCCACTTTGACCCAGAAAGGCTACTACTTCACACTGCCCACCAACCGGCTGCATTACCGCAGCGGCTCTGCCGGCAGCCAGCTCCGTGTCCTCCGCGTTGGCCATGATACCCACTGTTTCCCCATGAGAAGGGGCTGCAACCCTCCCCTGCCAGGCTCAGGACCCTACAGGTGAGGACCCCACACTGAGGTGGGGGCTCCTGCCTGAGCCCACCTGGAGCCCTGGGCAGCCCCTCTGGTCTTTCTTGAGTGATGGGCCCAGACCCAAGCCCCAGTCCCCATGGGCCTTCCGGACCCTGCAGATGGAACATCCTCCTCCAGACCCGGCACTCCATGCACAAGCTCCAGCCCCAGCCCCAGCCCCTGACCCCTGAGCCCTGACCGCTGACCCCTACCGAGCACTTTCCTAAAGGAGGCCACCAGGGCCCTGACAGGGTGAGGGAGGCCCCCAGGTCACACAGCTGGAAGACGCCCCAGCTAGCATCCAAACCTTTCGGGCTCTGAGGCTACGCTGTTTAGCCCCAACTCCCTACCCCACCCTCGGCAGCTCTCCCCGGGGCCTGGGAGTCGAGGAGACAGGACCCCAGGACCCCCACTCCCAATCTGGGTCTCCTGTTAGGGTGAAGTTTCTGGTGATGAATGACCATGGACCCGTAGCAGAAACAGAGTGGTCCAACGAGACCCGCCTGCTGCAAGGTACAGGGAGGCTGAAGCAGGAATGGGAGCCGAGGGCCGGGAGGGTGGGAGCCTGGGGACCAGCCCAGGCCCCGCAGTCAGAAGCACATCGCCATCATGGTCTCCGGCAGCCCTCCTCCCACCTCTGTTCCGGGCTTGGGGACAGGGTGGTTGCTCTGGAGGCTGCCCAAAGATGGCCTCTGGGTCAATGAGATTTTTTTTCCTGCTATACTGGCGACTGAACCCAGGGCCTTTGTGCTGAGCTACATTCCCAGCCCTTTTTTATTTTGAGACTGTCCCACAAAGTCACTAAGTTCCCCAGCCTAGGATCGAACTTCCGATCCTCCTGCCTCAGTGTCCCAGAGTGCTGGGGTGACAGGCGTGCACCACCATTCCCTGCTCAAATTCCCTTTTGGGCCCATCATGCCCCAGCCAAGGCGTTCGAGGCTGTCCAGGGATTCCAGAGCGCGGGCACCGTGGTCATCATTGCCATCCTGTCCGTCCTGCTGGCCATCTTCCTGGCGGCCCTTCTCGTCCTGCTCTCGTCCACCTGGTGAGTGGCGAGGCTGGGACTCTGGGGCTCCCAGCAGCAGCCCCGGCCCAGCCCCTCCCTGCCACCCTCTGCTGGAGTGGTTTGCCTGGAAGGAAAATGTACTGAGCAAGGGATCATCCAGGCTCCAGAGCCTCCAAACCTGAGCTAGTGACCCATCCTTTCCGCTGGGAAGGCACGGGAGGGGATAGGGGCGCGAGACCGTTGCCCACCCCTCAGCTTGTCCCTCTGCCCATCCTTTGCCTACTTTCCTAGCGGGCACCACCCGCCCCCTGGTGGCAACCTCTGGAATTGCAAGCGGCGGTGGGCGACGCCGAGGGCTGGGAGACTCCCCAAGGTTGGGAAGTAGAGGGGTTAGGGGTAGACTCCCCAGGTGGGGGAGGGGGAAGGAGGAGGGGGAGGGGGGTGCTTTCAGGCCAGCGGTGAATCTGGCTGCAAGATCTGAGGCAGAGCTGGGCGTTGCGGCCTGGCAGAGAGAGTGTGTTCAAAGCTTCCAGAAGGAAAGGAGACGCCTAGCTGCTGCTGGGATTTGAGGAGGCTGTTCCAGAGCTCCAGGAAGGGGATGGTAGGGAAGTGGAGGGATGTGGGGCACAGGAGAGTAGCGGGCAGCCAGGAAAGGTCAGGGGCCTGTATCTCCCACGCCTGTATGAGCCTGCAGTGGGCCTGATTGGGGGAACTGGATTTAAAAAAAAATTTTTTTTCAGTACTGGGGATTGAACCAAAGCCTTTACACTGAGCTCATCCCTCATCCCTAGTCCCTTTTTATTTTGAGACAGGCTCTCTTTAAATTGCTAAATTGCCCAGGCTGGCCTAGAACTCGGGATCCTCCTGCTTCAGCCTCCCAGAGTACTGTGATTACGGAGATGCACCACCAAGTCCAGCTAGGAGTTAGATTTTTTTTTTTTTTTGCTACTGGGGATTGAATTTGGGACCTTGCGCTTGTGAGGTAGGCGGCGGAACCACTGAGCTAAATCCTCAGTCCCAGAGTTAGATTTTTGAGGTTTGGAGAAACAGCCTGGTTCCTTTTTGAGAATGCTGCCTGGCTAGGGGAGCCTGAGCTTCCCCTGTGCCATGGGCCGGAGCACTGTAACACTACCGGTAGGACAGCCATCAGGCCTCTATTCACCTTTCTCTCCCTCTCTGCCAACCCAAGCTTTGATAGCTGCAGGAGCGCTCAAATTTCCAGCCCAAGGAACCAGGAGAGTTCGAGAAGATACAACACCCACCACATGGGCAGCCCTGAGCCCAAGGGGGGCTTCTGAGCAGCTCCTGAGCTCCCTGTTGGTGACCTCTCAGGCTGCGCCCTGAAACTTCCAGAGACCTGGGAGAGATGCACCAAGGACAGAGAGGATTCCCTCGGCCCCAGTGCTATGGGAAATAAATGTCCCCTGCTTGTCTGTGACATTGTATAGCTGGTCGGTCTTGCTTTCCCCCTGCCCAAGCTCTGCCGGGAGGTTCTCAGAGGGATGCAGGACTAGCAGGGAAGCTCAGGGTCCGAGGCCAGCTGAGTGAACCCAGCCAAATGCAGTCTCTCTTTGGGCCTCAGTATCCCTATCTATAAAACAGTGGCCTCCCTGGGTGACTGTGAAGCCAAACCAAGGTGAACATGTAACCCAGGAGAGAGGCTCACCCTGGCAAAGCCCTGAGTTCAAATCCCAGTACCACAAAAAAAGAGTAACATCGACTCAGCCCAGAGCAGAACCCAGTCCCAAACCCAGACCAGGGCACCAGTGTTTCTCGTCAGCAGCCCTAGGGGCCTAAATTGGCCCAGGCAAATTGTGTCCTCAGCGCCCCACCCCCCCGCCCCCGTTGAGGAACAACAGTGACATCCAGGGGGCAGGGGGACTTGGAGGCTTCAGTAGCTTCCTGGGGAGGTAGAGAGAATGGGGAGGTGGCAGACACGGGCCTCCAGAGGAAAGGAGGCTGGCTGGGCTCCCTGGCGCCTGCCTGGGGCAGTGGAAATGGCCCCAAGCGGTTTATTAGCTGGAGCAGATGTATCCGCATCCTGCTCCTGCTCTGGAGATAATAAATGCTCAAGTGGTGGGAGGAGGCAGGCAGGGTGGGAGAGGCAGGGAGCAGACAGGGACAAAGACTTCCAGCTGCTGCTGAGTTAAGCCTTGTTCTCTCTGTAGACTTTTTAGGACAGTGATGCACCCAGGCCCTGGGGCAGGTGATCCCGGACAGGTCACTTACTCAATATGGGCTCAGTTTCCCTTTATGTAAAAAGCAAAGGTTCCTGAGGTAGGGGGATCACCAAGTGCAAGCCTGGCTGCACTTAGCGAGAAGCTATCTCAAAATAAAAAATAAAAAAGGGCTGGGGATGTAGCTCAGTGCAAAGGTTCAGGCCTCAATAACCAGTACCACCACTACCAAAAAAAAAAGGCAAAGTTTGAACAGCCCTGCATTTGACAGCACTTTCTCCGCGCCCTGTAGGGCTGGGCTCTGGCAGGAAACAGATGGCAAGCCATCCCATAGGGCAATTGAGGGCATTTACAAAGGTGTGGGGAGCCTTGGGGGTACAGCAAGAGGGGGTGGCCCAGGACTGACACGTACTCCTGGATCCAAGCGCTGATGAGAGGAAGGGCGAGGTATTTCCAAAACTGTGGACAGTAGCCATGGGCCAGAGTCCACCAGGCAGGAGCAGGGGAAGCCACCTCCCTGCACCCTTCCCCGGTAGAACCTGACCCTCGCTCCAGTCTTGGAAGGCAGAGTAGGTCCTCCCTGCTCCTCCATCCCCCATTCAGAGTCAGTGCCCACAACCCTCTCCACCTTTTCCCAGCCCTCATTACTGGCAGCTGCTCACATCCTGGGCCCACACCTGCTCTATGGGAGTTGTGGGACCCCAGGAGCTCCCCCTCCCTGGCCCTCATCCCTCTAGGGTCTCAGCCAGCTCCCGTGGGTGAAAATGACCCCCTCAGTGGCCTCTGCCTGTCCATGGTCCCCAGCTGATCTGGCTGGACAGTCCAGGGGCCCCTCATGTGCCATCCTCAGCCCTGTGCCTCCCCCAATTCCCTAACCCTCAAGTCCTTAGGCCAGACACTGAGCAGGCCCAGGCCAACCTCTGTCCCTGAACACATGTGCCACTTCCTTCCCTAGACACCGCCTGGCCATGATCACACAAGCCACCAACTGGGGACCTGCCCAGGATGGGCCCAGCCCCAGTAAGCCCTGGTGCAAAGCAGGTGGAGTAAGGCAGGATTCGCCTGGGGTCTTCTGGCACCGGGGATCCAGGACTGGCCCAAGAGAAGGGCTCAGCAAAGTGCCTGCCCATTAATATGGGGCTGGCCCATCCCTCGGAGGTGCCAGGATCAGGGGCACAAGGCATGGCCTTGGAGGAGTGACAGGTAGGGTTATAAGGGACAGGCCAGGGCAGCCAAAGAGCCAGGTGGCTCCACTAGGCAGAAGGGACGGGGGATAGTGGCTCCTTCCCACTGGCCACAGGGTGTGGCTGCAGCAGCCTGCCCAGTGTTCTAGCTCTTGTGAGACAAACTTGGAACAGAGACTCAGGACAATGCTATCCGGGAGACATGTGTCCCTGGCATCAGCCTGATAAACAGATGTGAGGGGCAGGCGACCCGGTGCCTCTCTTGCTGCCTCTTTCTGTCCCTCTGTGGTGTGTTTGCTGGGTGTCCCCCTCGGTTATGTTTCTGTCTCTCATCCCTATTTTTAACCCTGACCAGCCCTGGGGAACTCGTCACTTCCTGAGGGGAAGCTAAGCTGTCCCAGACATAGGCATGACCACTTCTTCACAAACACCTGACCACAGCAGAGTTCTGGCCTCTGCTCCAGGATTGGACCCCATAGGGGTAAGGGCAAAATGGAGCAGAAAGGCCAGCCGAGATTGTGCATGCCTGTAATCCCAGCAACCTGGGAAGCTGAGGCAGGAGGATCACAAATTCAAGCTTAGCCTTGATAACTTAATGAGACCCTGTCTCAATAAATAAATAAGAGCTGGGGATATAGCTCAATCCAAAGACCCTGGGTTCAATCCCTCAGCACCACACACACACATGCACACACACACACACTCATCATGCACACACAGAGCAGAGAGAAGTTCGACAGAAGGATTATCAGGAACAGAAACCATTCCTCATCTGTTCCCCCAAACGACAGGTACAGAGAGGGTCACATCTGAAGCCCCCTCCACTGCTGGTCCTGCCCCCAACACTGTCCCCACCCTCTGGGCCTCCTGCAGACCCCCACTGTCCCCTGCAGCAGGCTCTGGGTCTCTGGTGCAGTGTGGCAGGAAGCCAGGCAACTCTGTCGGCCTCTGCCACTCAAGCATGTGTTTGCACCCTTTCTTTGGTCCGGGAGCTGGGGCTCTCCTGGGACTGACTCACACGGAGGGGTCCGGAGGGCCAGGACAGGCAGGCAGGAGGGTCAGCAGGGCCTGGGAGGAGTCAGCTGTCCAAGCCGGTTGTAGCTCAGTGGTGAGGATTTGCCCAGCATGCGTGAGGTTCCATCCCCAGCAAAAAAAATAGGACAAAGAAGTCGGGTGTTCAGGCGTCCCGTGGGCAGGGTGCCTCCCTGTCTGACCCCATCAGACTAACCTTTAAGGGAGTCTGTTTCCACCTTAGGGGCATGCGATGCAGCAGCTGTGTCCCTAGAGTGCTGTCTCAGGGTCCCAGGGAGGACAGTCCAGGGCGAGATGGTGGCCTCCTGCTAGGCTGAGACATAGGCCATCCTCAGCATCCCTTGGGGACTTGCAGGGACTCAGGGATCCAGGAGCCAGGACCCCTGCTTGCTGGGTGGTCTGTGCTGCTCAGGGTTGGGGCTAAGGTCCCTGTGTCACCAAGACAACGGCCAGGGGTTCACAAAAGCTCTCCTCCTTGCACCCTGCATGCTCCACCACCCTTCCCACCCCATCTTTGGCCCCCAACTCTGGAGCCCAAATCTGTAGATCGTGGCCTCTTTGCTGGCCACCTATGCCCCTTCCTCCGGCCATCTGAGTTGCAAGGGCAAGGACTTCAGGATGATGTCCTAGCTGCAGGCTCTCCATCCAACCCTGGGGGTGAGAAGGGACCAGAGACAGATGGGGAGCAGCAGAGACGGTGGCAGGCACTCGGACCAAGCTTGCTGGCCACTGCTGGTGACTCCACCCTAAGCAGGAGCAAGGGCTACAGAGTGAGGTTGATGGGAGAGGCGGACCTCGGCACTGGACCTACTGTGCACCTGGAATAAGGCCCAGTAACTCACACTTGGGAACCCTAACTTCCAGGGCTGGGGTGGAAGCTGGAAAAGAGGTGTGGTCCGCACTGTGGGCATGGGGGTGTGGAGGGGCTCAGACCCTGCAAGTGAAGAAGGGGGCAGAGGAGGGAGAAGAGGTATCTACACCTGCTGGACTCAGAAATGTGACAGCTGTTCAGGAGCGAGTGGCTGAGCCCTGGAGGCTTCAGGGTGGGGAACAGAGGTGGCTGGGGAAGCCAGGGAAGGCCCAAAGGCCGGGAGTGCAGCTGGGGTGCTTGAGGAACTTTGAGCAGGGCAGCATAAGAGCCAGCCTTCTTTCTGCCTTCCTTTCCCCCCTGTTTTTGTAGGACAGTACTGGGGACTGAATTCAGGGCTTTCGTACTGAGCTACACCTGCAGCCCCACCCTCTTTTCTTTTTGAGACAGGGTCTCACTGAGTTACCCAGGCAGGGCTTCAGCTTGTGATCCTCCTGCCTCAGCCTCCCAGAGCGCTAGGATTGCAGATGCGCCATGCCCAGCTTTCTTCTGGATTTCCAAAGCTGACAGTAGAACCACTGCGGGAGGGGCAGAGAGGGGCCGCTGGCAGCTGGAGGGCAGGGCTAGAGGTCCTTCTGGGAGGCAGGGATGCCAAGCTGCCCACCCCTTGCTTTCGGAGCTGTGCAGCACCCTGGGGACCAGGCTGGTGGGGACCCTTCCCTCCCAGGACTGGCAGCCCCCATTTCTGATCCAGAGCAGCCGCCCTGGGTAAGCTCCTCCCTTTCCCCACTCCCGCCCCCAGCTTCCTCCAGGGAGGACGAGGCAGGGCATTTCCCACTTTCCGGGTCAGAGGTTAATGAGGGCAAAGCAAGGAGCTCCACTGGGATGAACTTCTGGGAAAAGAGGAACCTGCACCTGGGCTGAGGGCCAATGCAGGGTGGGTCACAGACCCTGCCCACCTGCTGCCCAGGCCATGGTCCAGCCTTGTGAGCAGCCACCCATCCCAGGGCATCTCCCGGACCAAGACTGGAGGCCTCCACCCTGGCTGAGGAGGCAGCCTCTCAGGCCTGGGGCCATGTGGCCTGGCTTGTCCCTAACTCTCCTGTCTTGGGTCTCTGGTTCATGGCCCGGGTGGACGGACAAACAGGCCCTGAATCCCACCCGGACCCTGCAGGGATGTCAGGCTGTGGTGAGGTTAGAAGGTGACTCAGGCTCAGGGAGGGAGGGTCTGGACTCAGGACTCGGGCTCTGAAGTGGGGACATTTGTCTCTAAGCTATTCTCTCCCACCCCACTTTGTGTATGTGGTTCTAGAGGCAGAACCCAGGCCTTTGCATTTTGTCTTTTGAAACAAGGTCTTGCTAAGTTGCCCATGCTAGGCTCCAATTTGTGATTCTCCTGCCTCAGCCTCCTGAGCTGCTAGGATTACAGGCATGTGCACTGTGCCCAGCTAAGCCCACCTCTTATAGATGAAGGACCCACAGGGTTGGCAACAAGGAAAGTAAGAATCCCAAAATAAAAATAAAAAGGGCTGGGGGTGTAGCTCAGTGGAAGAGTGCTTGTCTAGCACGTGTGAGGCCATCAGTTCCATGCCCAGCACCGCAAAACAAACGAAAAACAAATGTCCATCCACAGGCGAAAGGATAAGCAAACGGCAGAGCCTCCATCCAACCCAGAACATTCCTCATAATAAAGAAGAAGGGGCCTTTGGACCACTGAGGCATGGACCCAGGGTACAGCTCCTGGACACTGTATCGAGTAAAAGAAGCCAGGCACAGTGATACCCACCTGTCATCCCAGCACTCTGGGAGGCTGAGGCAGGAGGATCACAAGTTTGTGCTCATCCTGGGCAACTTAGCAATTTCATGAGAACCTGTCTCAAAATCAAAAATAATAAGGGCTGGGGATTTAGCTCAGTGGTTCCAGCACCTGCCTCGCAATAGCAAGGACCCAAGTTCGATCCCCGGTACCAAAAAAAAAAAGAGATAGCAAAATCAAAAATAATAAATGGGCTGGGGAGTGTAGCTCAGTACGAAGCCTCTGAGTTCAATTCCCAGTACCTCCCTCCAAAAGCCAGGTGCAGGGCCAGGGATTTAGCTAAGTGGTTCCGGTGCCTGCCTCGAAAGCGGAAGATCCCGAGTTCAATCCCATGTACCAAAAAAAAAAAAGGGGGGCCAGAAATTTAGCTCAGTGGTAGCACCTGCCTCACAAGCAAAAGGCCCTGAGTTCGATCCCCAGTATTGCAAAAAACAAAACAAAAGCCAGGTGCAAAGGAATACAATGGTCCCTCTATTTGCAGGGGGGGTGTCCTTCTTGGACAGTACCAGGCCCCGTGGCCGATCACTGTGACACACTGAGATGCCTGAGAGCACCACCATCTGGTAGTGGAGACGGATGCTAACAACAGGCAGACAGCGTATCCAGGGTGGTTACTGCTGGACAAAGGGATGATTCACCCCCAGGGGAGGATGGAGTGGGACGGAGAGAGATTTCCTCATGATACTCTGAGCAGCAGGAAATTGAAAACTTACGTATTATTTATTTCTGGAATTTTCCATCTAATATTTGGGTACCATGGTCAGCCCTGGGTAGCTGAAACTGTGGGAAGCCAGTGTCTAATGGGGATCAGTATATGGGTGTATGATTCCGTACATACAAAGATCAAAAGCAGGTGGAAGTGGGTGTGATGGTGCACACCTGTCAGCCCAGCTACTGAGGAGGCTGAGACAAGAGGGTCTCAAGTTTAACCCTAGTCTGGGTAATTTGCAAGAGCCTGTCTCAGAAAAAAAAAAGTGAAAAGGCCTGGGGGTATAACTCAGTGGTAGTGGGCTTGAGTAGCATTCAAGGGCCCTGGGGTTCCATCCCCAGTACAGAGTCGGGGCGCGTGTGTGTGAGACTCCTCCATGAGGAGGAGTTGGGATGCAGGACATCTCGTGGGCCAGTAGTGATGGAATGGGCCCCAGGAAGTGTTTTGGGCCACAAATGTCCTAGATCTTGACCTTGGGAAGTGGAGACCCAAGTGTAGGCGGATGTTAACCTCACCCAGCTGTTCACGTAGAATCCGTGCACTTGGCTGTGTGCAAAGGAGTCTGTGTGGTTTTTGTTTATTTGTTTGGTCTTTGTTTTTTGAGACAGGGTCTCACTATACAGTCCAGGCTGGCTTTGACCTCACTATGTAGGCCAGGCTGGCCTCGAACTCCAGGTGACCCTCCTGCCTCAGCCTCCCAAGTGCTGGGTTACAGTGAGCCATCATGACTGTCTTAGGGACCTGTGCTTCCCCAGCATGCCCTGTAGAGCCTTCTGGGAAACCCTGGGTCAGGAAGAGCCTGGGGGTGTCCAGCCACAGCAGAAGTTCAGAGCAGAGAGAGCTGCAGGGGGGCATACTGGGGTCCTGGTGGGGGCGTGGCAGGGTCCAACAGGCCCAGGGCTGCTGTAGGGAGCTGGGGAGCAGAGCACAGTGTGGTGAGGTGGGAACCAGGCCCAGAGGGGCTGTTGAATGTGGAGTGTGCAGGGCTTTTGGAGCCAGGCCAGGCTGAGGAGGAAGAGCCACCGCCCCAATCCTGTGTTCCCGCCTCCATCTATCCTCCGCCCCGGGCTCCCGGCTCCAGTCGGCCCAGCCAGGGCCTGTCCTGGACTGTGGAGAGGCCGTGGCGCCGGCAGCCACGATAGGTTTATGTTCTGGCTGTAGCTGCCCTGGCGGGGTCCCAAGTCCCCTCGCTTGCACACGTCCTTCCCCCTGAGTAGCCAGGGGAGGCCAGGCCACAGCTCCCTTTTCCCTCCTCCCCTCCCCCCCTTCTCCCCATCCAGCTGTCACCTCTTCCAGGAAGCCCACCTGGCCGGCAGAAAGGTCAGGCCCTGCAGCTTGGCAGAGACCCCTAGAAAGGGACTGCAGTGCCTAAGACTATGGACCTTCTGTCTTCTTCCCTTTCTTCCTTTTCTTACTTATTTATTTATTTGCAATACTGGGGATTGAACCCAGGGCCTCTGCACCGAGCTACATCCCCAGGCCTTTTTTCAGGTTTTTGGTTTTTTTTGTACCGGGGATCGAACTCGGGTCCTTGCACTTGTGCAGCAGGTGGCGAAACCACTGAGCTAAATCCCCAGCCCTTTCAGTTTTTATTTTGAAATACAAATTTCCCTACCTTGCTCCCTGCCCAGGCTGGACTCCAACTTCCAATCCTCCTGCCTCAGCCTCCCAGAGTGCTGGGATTACAGGCAAGTGGGCACCTGAGAACCCGTCACCCACCCTGTGCCTTTCTTTGGCCACCTTGGCCAGCACTGAAGACCATTCTCAGCTCCCCCAGGGATTCCTGGGGACAGATTCCTTCCCTTCCATGCCACCATAGTGTAGGGTCAGGAACACCCCGCTCTGCCCTGTGTTTGCATTCTGATCTCTCCCCTTCTTTCCTTGACTGTCTGTGGTGGATGAACTAATGGTCAGCTTGTAAGACCCAGCTGAACTGAATAGAGTGGTCTGGGCATGGAAGATCCACCTGAGGTTTGTTGCCAATAGCTATAAAAAGAGAACTGGCGGGGCTGTTGATTTTCTATTAGAAGCTTGCTGCGGGTGGTCCGATGTGAACTTGCTGAGGAGGAGATCCAGGCCTCACTGTCACTGAGAATGGCTGCTGTTCTCATCAGGGCGCTCTGATCTTCACTGTGAGCATCATTTCCTGGCTCCAATGTGGATCCCTCAGCCTGCTGGCACAAATCCTTCACCCCTCCAGCGTAGATTTTCTGGCTTCCACCACTGCCTTTGGGCCTTCTGGGTGCAGATCCTCAATACAGACGAGTGTGACATTGCCGTGGGCTCTAGGCCTTCAGCCGGACTTGCGTGGCACATTGCTGTGGGATCCAGGCCTTGGGTGGATTCTTTGGGCCTCTGGTATGTGGCTAATCTCTTGCACTCCTCTGCATCTGACTTTTTGGGTAAATATCATAAAATAATCCTGTAAATTATGTGTCCTATATTAAATGTATTCCCTTGCCAAAGCCCTGACTACAATACTGTCTTTCTCCATGCTTCTCTCTGTGTCTTTCTCTCCCAGCATGGTCTTCTCCATCTTTCTAGGGAAGCTGGGAGACACATTAGGAGTGGGTGACTTTGTCAGGGTGTGGAAGGGCACACAACACCGGCATTTACTTCCAGAGTTTGGGTGTGGATCCAAAACATCAAGGCAGGGCCTATGCAGGGGTGGCCTTGTCCCATGGGAGGGAAGTCAGGAAAACAGCCCTGCTCCAGCAGGGCTAACCAGGGTTGTCCCTGAAGCACTTGCATCTGAAGGTGCTGTTTGCAGCCACCGTCGGCCCACTTTACAGATTAGGCAAACGAGGCTCGGAGAGGCTGAGTATGTTGCTTATCATCACACAGCAAATTCTATGGTACTAGTGGAGCCAGGATTTGAACACTGTCTAGCTCCAGACTCCACATTCTTTACTGTGGGCCTGTTTTTGTTTTGTTATTCTTATTTTTCTTGGGCTAGGGAATAAACCTCAGGGCCTTTGCACTGAGCAACATCCTCAGCCGTTTTAAATTTGTATTTTGAGACAGAATCTTGCTAAATTACTAAGTTGTCGTCCAGGCTGGGCTTGAATTGTGATCCTCCTGCCTCAACCTCTCGGAGTGCTGGGATTACAAGTGTGTGCCACCATATCCAGCTTGTAGGCCTGCTTAAAAATGCTCTCTGTCTAACTGTCGTGGTGGTGGGATTAGGATCTGTGGGGCAGCAGAAAGCTGGGGACAGAGGTCTATCTGGCCTACAGGTGCTTCTTGGGCCAGCCCTCCCGGCTCCTCACAGTCCTGACTTCTGGGCACAGGGCTGTTACTCGCCCCACAGCCAGCCGGGCTCCCTGTGCCCTGGGCCCATCCAGAGCCCTGGGACCAGCACTGGCACTCAGAGCCGGCCCTGGCCTCTGTGGGGCTGCTCTCCCGCCTCAGCACTTGTGCTGGCCTCCTCTCCTCCCTGCCCCTCGCTCCTCTGCCGATACCTTCGGTCCCTTCTCTCAGGACCTGCTTCCTCCTGGACATCCCTCTGGGCCAAGGCTGGACACGGTAGGACCGGCACCAGGAGCCCCTGTCTGATGGGGTCACCAGGTGGGTGGCAAGGAGTCTCCTCTGCATCGGGGCAGGTTTTCTAGTAGGATAAAAATCCTTGCAGTCTGAGGAGGGGAAGGGCATTGGCTCCAAAATATTAAAACTGCAAAATAAAATTGAAAAATATTTACTTAAAATTTTTTAAAATGTTTACTTAAATGTGGTCCAAATGTAACCTGGTGTCAGCTTCACCCACTGTTACGTTTAGCATTTGTCGTTGCACATGGAAACATTTTGTAGCTCACAGCTCACTTTGAAAGAATCCCAAGATTCCCAGGAACACACGATGTTTGTGGAGAAATCCAGGCCAGCAGCAAATCAAATGAGTCCCTTGTACCTAAACATCTTTAAAAGCTAAGGTACAAAATCTTTTTCAAACATTTTTACAGCTGAGATATATGCATAAAGTTGGGGACAGAGCTCCAGACAGAGGTGTATTGCTTTAGGGTGATAAAAATATGTAGCATAAAATTCACTATCTTGTTTTCTTTATTTTTCATCCCTGGGGCTTGGGCTTTGGGCTTAGAAAACAACCACTCAGACCAGTGGCATTTGGATCTCGGGAAACTGAACAAGTTGAAATTTTACTATTCTAGATACCTCATAAAACTGGAATGGTGCAGTATCTGTCTGTTTTGATGACTGGCTTATTTCACCAACCATCATGTTTATCTATGTTGTAGCCTGGGTCAGGATTATCTTCCTTTTAAAGCCAGAATATGATTCCACTAGGTGCAGGTGGTGCATTCTGCTTACCCAGAAATTGGCATTTGGTGATTTCCTCCTCTCGGCCATGGTGAAGAATGACGCAAGTACAAATGGCCTTTGGAGACCCTGTTTTCAACTCTGGTATGTATACCTAAAAGTGGGATTGCTGGATCATACAGTAATTCCATTTCATTGATTATTTATTTATTGCAGGACTGAGAATTGAATCCAGGACCTTTGCACTGAGCTACATCTTGACACCTCTGCCCCCAACCCTTCACCCTTTTTTTTTTTTTTTCTGGTACCAGGGATTGAACTCAGGACCTTGCACTTTCGAGACAGGCGGTGGAACCACTGAGCTAAATCCCCAGCCCCACTCCTGTCTTTTTGAGACAGGGTTTTGCCAAGTTGCCTAGACTGGCCTCAAACTTGTGATCCTCCTGCCTCAGCCTCCCAGAGGGCCAGAATTACATGCATGCATGCACTCAGGGCTTTTTTTTTTTTTTGATACAGGGGATTGAACTCAGGTCCTTGAGCTTGCAAGGCAGGTGGCAGAACCACTGAGCTACATCCCCAGCCCTGCACCCAGGGTATTTTTAAATGTTTACTGGAGCAGAGTGTGGAGCCCTGACCCACACTAAACCAAAAATAGTGCTGTGTTATGGGTAAGGAGTGGAGCACACAGGCTTGACTTTATTTTCTCCAAGTAAAGCTTTATTTTTGTCTCACTCAATTTTATTGTGATTGAATCCTCACCTTTACCCCAACCAATTCCACGTCTGGTCCTGTGCATGTGGGAGCATTGAGAAGCTCACCCTGGTCTCTGAGGCTCTTTCCCATTCCCGGGCAGGGGCTGGGCTGGGGCAGCTGCTCCTGGAGGTGCCAGCAGGCTTCTTCTGATGTCAAAGAGCAGGATTCCTGCAGCTCAAACCTGAAGTCTTTTTCTCATTGTTATCGTTCTTCCACGAGCTCCAAAACCGCACACTGATGAGCTGCAAGAGATGCCTCCTGTCCCACGCCTGGTGCACTGTGACCTTTGTGGGTCAAGATACTAACATCTGCCAGGCGTGGTGGCCCACGCCCATGATCCCAGCCCTGTAGGAGGCTGAGGTGGGAGAATCGAAAATTCAAGCCCAGCATGGGCAATTTAGTGACTTAACAACACCTTGTCTCAAAATTTAAAAAAAACACAAAAAAACAGGGTGGTAGCTCAGTTTGAAGGTCCTGGGTTCAATCCCCAGTACTGACAAAATACCTGGGTAGTGGTTGTGTAACTCTTATATTTTAGAACTGCTTTGGCACAAAGATGCGTACTATCCAGGATCATTACATTTTTGTTACTGTTGTATTCTTCTTCCCCTTCTGGTTCTAAAAGAAATGAAAACATTTCTGTGGGTCCCTAAAACACATAGGCAGGGACATTATTCTGCCCAAGTGGGTGAGGGGCACAGGAAGTGGGAGGCAGGAAGCAGCCACAGGATAGGATTTCAAAATGTGCCACGCATGGTGTTTCCAAAACCTGAGACCCTGCCACTAGCTGGTTCCTGTCAGTGTCCCCAGTCACATGTGGCACGAGCCTCCTGTGCCTGCTCTTGCATGTTTTCAGAACAGTCTCCATCATCCCCATACCCCACCTCCTGCTTCTGCCTCCACATTCCGTCCTGTCTTAGCTGGTTTGCTGTTGCTATAACAAACACCAGAGACTGAGTACTTTATAAAGAAAAGAGGTTTTGGTTAGCTCGTCATTCTGGAAGCCTGAGATTGAGGGGCCACATCCGTGAGAGCCTTCTTCAAAGTTCCAGGATGGCCCAGGGCACATACCTTGAGACCACGCAAGCCAGCCAGAGACTGCTCTCTTTACTGCCAACCTCCTTTCCCAAAACCCATTTCCCGAGATCCACGAGCAGTGATTCCATTCATGTGGGCAGAGCTGCCCATAGGTCTCACCTCTCAAACACCATTAGCAGATGACTTTGAGATTCAGTGCCAACTTACGGCGGGGTGCAGTTGCCCCTGCCTGTAACCCAGCACTCGGGAGGCTGAGGCAGGAGGATCATGAGTTCAAGGCTGGCATGGGCTAGAGAAATCCTGACTCAAAACAAAAAAAAAAATTGCGGGGGGGAAACATTCAAACTGTAGCATTTCCCCATCACCTAGACCTGGTCCTTCCAGAGCCGGTCTTGGGAGACCTGGGAATTCCCTCTCTCCTCCTCCTTCCTCGTTCATTTCTCTTGCCTCTCCCCTCTTTTTTGCAGTTCTGGGGATTGAACCTAGGGCCTTTGCACTGAGCTACATCCCTAGCCCTTGTTTTATTTTAAGACAAGGTCTAAGTTGTCCAGGCTGGGCTTGAACTTTGACTTTCCTGCCTCAGCCTTCCAGAGTGCTGGGATTACAGGTGTGTGGCTGGCTCTTACCTATCCTTTTACATCCATCCTTTTTTGGTACTGGGGATCAAACTTGGGACCTTGTGTACATCCATCCTTCTATTCAGCCTCTTGAGTGCAAAGATGCTGGCTGTTCTCTGGGTTCCCACTGCCCAGGACAGGGCCTGGCATACAGTAGGTATTCAATGAGAGCTTAGTAAATTGCTGGGTGATTCAGTTGGTAAATGAGGGCATGAATGAATGAGGGAGGGGGGACAGGAAATGAGAGCAGTGGTCTCCTCAGCAAAGGGGTCCCCTCTGCAGGGAGGCTGTGGACAATGCTGGAGCCAGAGCTGAGCTCTGGTCCTGGCACCACCCACTGACTCAGCCTCCCCAGAGACCGGTTTCTGGGAACTGGTCCGGTGCTTGTCTCTGGCCTGGCTGGTTCTGTGTTCTCAAGGTTCTGCCCTGGGAGTCCTCATGCTTAGGGCCACATGGAGGGAAGGGTTTTGTGTCTCTGGGGGCTGGCAGGATGGCAGGTGCCACAGGCAGAGTCTGGGGATACCCCTCCCCTCTGAAGTGGACCCCGCTGCAGGACACCTGTGTTCACGGGCACAGGTTGTCATGCGAATCAAAGGAGGGGATTATGTGGGCGCTCAGAGTCCAGGTGACATCCGTGGCTGTCATCTGGGTGTGACATGGAGACAGTCTAGATCCTGAAGTGACTGAGCTCACTCTTCCAGGTGCCCAGCAGAGGAGCCCCTTTCCTTCCCAGCAGCCCACTGTCCACCTCCCTGCTGACCACTAGAGCTGACTTTTGGCCCCATGGTGACGAGGGGTCAGAACTCGGGTCCTGTGTCCGGTGTCCTTGGGAGACGAGGGGCCTAGCACCAGGCCCCTTTCTGTTTAAATTAGAGCCAGTTTCTGTTGCTTGGAAGCAGAAACAATGGGAACATGGGCAACACAGCTCAGGAGACTGAGCGGCAGCCCCGTGGACCCGAGGGGAGACTCGGTCTGTTCCTGTCCGCTCTGTGCAGCCTGAGCACAGTAAGGGCTGGCCCCCACTACAGGAGCCACACTCGAGAAAGGCTGATGACACATCGGTGGGAACAGTGAGCAGGTCAGTGCGGCCTTGGACTCATCCTGGGTTGGAGTAGAGGAGGCCGAAGGCTCTGGGGGAGCCACTGTTTGTTGGTGGACTGGTCTATGGGAACAACCACCAAACTGGGACATCAGCAAATCCTCTAGAAGCCCCACATGTAAGTGTCTGCTGGGTGGGAATTTACCTTCAATGACATTCGTTCACATGTAAGACATGAGATCCTCCTGCCTCAGCCTCCTGAGCTGTGGGATTACAGATGCACACAACTATACTCGGTTCAAGCATGCTTTACGTATGGATATACACAGCTCCCCAAGATAAAAGAAGAGAAAGTGTAAGTGTAAACAGTAACGACTGTGTATAAAAGAAAAACATGTCTGCTGATGTATTATAGGCAGAGACTGTCTCCCGACAGATGGACAAGGGACTGGGTACAGTAAATGCCTCCAGGAAGGGAATGTGGCTTCGAGACAAGAGATATCTATCCATCCATCCATCCCATCCATCCATACCCCACACATACTTTTGTGGTACTTGAGATTCAACCAACGGCCTCATGCATGCTAGGCAAGTGCTCTACCACTAAGCCACATCCCCAGGCCCCTCCTTTAAAAAAAATTAAGTTGCCCAGCATGGCCTCAAGCTTGTGATCTTCCTGCCTCAGCCTCCCCAGTAGCTGAAATCACAGGCATGCACCACCATGCCCTGCTGAACCTTACTTTTTTTCACTGTAAGCACTGCAAATCTTCAACATGTTTGAGTATGGTAAAGTGTGTGTAGTGTACAAATAACAGATAAAGGAAAACAGACTAGGACAGGAATAGAATCCCCCTCCCACCGCACGCAGGTGTCCCTGCTGCTGCAGATCCTAGATGCACCGGAAGTGGAAGATGCACCGGGGCCAGACAGCAAGGAAGTGCCCAAGTTGGATCCGAAACCCAAGTCTGGGAGAGGCGGAGGCTGGGAGGGAAGCTTCCTAGGCCACTTGCTGCTGGGTTCAGAGCTGTGGCCTCCAGACCAGGCAGGCAACCTGGGAGGTGGAGAACCCCAGACCCCCACTCTGTACTGAGTCTGGTGGAAGCCACCGCCCCAGGAGAAACCCCCGGGGTACGGTGTCCGGGGAGGCCCTCCTGGTCCTGCCTGGGCCATCCGTGTGACCTCCGGACCCCAGCAGGTCATCTTCCGGCTGAGGCCCTCAACCAGGTACCCACCGCGCAGGGAGCAGGGGAAGTAAATGAAATGACGAGGAGAAAACTCTCAAAGCAGGTGTTTAAAAAAAAAAAAAAAATCCAGACTTGGCTCCAAACCCTCAGGGACTGCCCCTTAGGCTCTCGCTGCCTCCTGGATCTAACACGAGCGCTACATTAACGTCACGTGATCTCACATTCTTTCGACTCACACCTACTCAGGGCTAATCATGCAGATTCGGTGGACCAGAGCGGTTCTGGCACTGTGGGTGTGTGCTTCTTTTGTTTGTTTTTTGTTACTGGGGATTGAACCCAGTGTCTTCAGACTGAGCCACATCCCCAGCCTCTTTTTTTTTTTTTTTTTTTTTAATTTATTTTGAGACAAGGTCTTGCTAAATTGCCCAGGCTGGGCTCGAATTTGGGATCCTCCTGCCTCAGCCTCCCATAGCGCTGGGATTACAGGCCTGCGCCTACCTGCTTCCTTTTGCAAGGCCCCGCCCCCGCCCCCGCCCGGGCCTCTGTGTCCTGGAGCAATCAAGCAGGCCGCCCCCGCGGCTTGCCCAGAACTTGCACTGTGATCACGCTTGCCGCCTCCAAGGTTTCCACGGATTTCCCAGCCCCACCAAGCCCCGCTGGCGGGCCTCGAGCCCTCTGCGGGTAGGCACCTCGGTGCAGGTCCCACCCACCCCGCCCCACACAGCCAATGAGTGACGTGGTGCAGGCCGGCCCCGCCCACGCGGGGAAGGCCTGCCGCTGATTGGCTCTCCCCCGAGCAGTGTTTTCCCCCCTCCGCACGTGGGGCGGGGGCGGGGGGGATGGAGTGGAAGCGATTCCCCGCCCCCGCGCTCCTCTCCTGTCAGCGCCACCCGCCGCCGCCGCCGCCGCCGCCGGGAGTCCGCTGTCTTGTTCCCGCGTCGCGGAGCCGCGATGGCCAAGCACAGCTCGCTGTCCATCCGCATCGTGGAAGGGAAGAACCTGCCTGCCAAGGACATGTGAGCGCGCCAGGGGTGGGCGCCCTAACTTTATGGGGAAGGACCCTGCCCCTCTCGACGCCTGACCTTTCCGGGGTCCCCACGGCCCGCCCACAAGGACAGCAGAGGCGAGGGTGTGACGAGTGGCTGGGAAAATGGGAACAGTGAGATTTGCTGCAGACACTGGACAGGAAAGAGGGGTTGCAGACCTGCAGGGGCTCAGTGACCCGTGGTTCAGAGAGGAAGGGGCTCGACTAGGGCAGGGCCTGGCGCGGGTGACATCGCAGGGAGCAGGCCCTGAGTGTGGCTGGAAGGGGCAGGATCCCCCTAGAATCGAGGTCGCCTCAATGGCTTCAAGCCCAGCCATCTGAAGTGTGCACCTGAGACTTCGGGAGCCAGGGGCTTTCCCGGGACTTCCTGCCTTGCACCTGGCAGTGTGGGGGTGGCAGAGCATGGGTGAGGTTGGAGGCCAAGACGGCACCGGCAGAGTGGGGCCACGGGTGGTAGTGTGGCTGTACCCATGCTTTGCCCGAGCCATGGCCTCAATCCCCACATCCATCCAGCACCCATGTCTCACCATTCCTGTGTGTGTGTAGTACTGGGGATTGAACCCAGGGCCTTTGCACTGGGCTATATACCCAGCCCCCACCTCCCTATTTAATTTTGAGACAGGGCCTCCCTAAGTTGCACAGGTTGGGCTCGAACTTATGATCCTCCTGCCTCAGCCTCCCAGTGTGTGCTGGAATCACAGGCGAGCACCACCACATCTGGCTTACCGTTCCATTTTACAGATGAGAAAACTGAGGCTCAGAGGCCTACAGTGCTCTCTCCAAGGGGGCAGAGCAAGGGCATGAGTCTGGGGTAACAGGCGGTAACATCTTCAGGCCATCCCTGGCCCTGCAGGATTAGGAAGCAGAGCTCTTAGGAAGAAGGGGTCCTTTGACCCCCTTCTCAGTAGGTCCCAGGCTGACCTGCCTGTGGCTCCCCCTCTCGGCTGAGCCCCTGCTTTCCTTATGTGCAGCCTTAGGCAGCTCCTTGCTGGGGAAGCCTCAGCTTCCCTTTCTGTCACCTGGGGTTGGGGGGGGCGGTCTGACATCTCCCTAGGGAGTGGTGGGAAGCACAGTTCTCTGGGCATGCTGGCTGCTCAAGGGAGGCACAAGGTCCAGAGTCCAGCAGGCTGCAGTCTCCCTGGCCGCGGGGCCCCCAGCGGGCCTCCGGGAGACAGACAAGTGGCCGCCAGAAGGGGGGCCGGGAGGGGGCCTGAGCATCTCTCAAATGCATGCACCGCTCTGGAACAGTGGCCCCAGTGAGCTTCCCAGCACACTCAGCACTCAGCGCCAGGAGTGGTTCTAGTTCAAGGCCCCCCCCCCCCCGCCCCGGCCTGCTGAGGCCAGCTCAGCGGTTGCCATGGCAATGGTTCAGGAGGGCCGGGCCATCTCAAGGTGGGTTTCTGTGATGGCAGAGAGGGTAAAGCTAGGGAGGAGTTCTCCGGAGTGGGAAGGCAGAGGAGCTCCAGGGAGGGTCGCAGCCCCCAGGCCCAGCCTTAACCACCCCCCACCCCACTCCTCCCCACCCAGTGCTCTGTAACTAGGTCATCTTGGCCTCCTCTGGCTGGTGGTGGCTGGGAGGAACGGCCCCTCCGTCTGTCACCTCCCTCCCCAGCCCTGCAGCAGCTGGCTCTGGTGCCTGTCTCCAGGGCGCTGAAGCTCTTGGGCTGGACCTACCTGGGGTGCCAGGAACCGTGCCCTCTGTCTGCACAGCCCAGGGAACCAGCAAGGGGACTTCATCCCCTGGACAGCACCCCCCAACTCTTCCTGCCCTCTTCCCTTCTCCTCACCCCCTTGCCCCCTCTCCCCTGCCTTCCCCATGGAGATGACTGTATGCAGCTCCCCTTGTCCACTATCACTTAAGCCACTTCCTAAGCCCCAGCCCCCACATTTTGCCAGTTCCCCTCACAGCCCGCCTTTGATGTCCTCCAGAAAACTCCTGTGCATCCTTCAGGATCCTTCTCAAACTTCTCTCCTTTCCCCGGTACCCTCGGGCAGGTCCCTGGCTCCCATCCTGTCCTTGCCCTGCAGCCTTGGGGAGGGTGGAGGCCTCAAGTGTAGCATTTGACCTTTCAGGGACTGGCACTCACTGGTTAGGGACCTGGGAGAAGAGCAGTGAGGGCCTTCACAGTTTGGGCTGGAATTAGCTCTCTAAGGCAGACCTGTTTGCTTACAGGGGCCCGCTGCCTGCAAGCTTGCTCTGGGGCTGCTTAGGGCTGAGCCTCCCGATCCGTGCAGGGGCTTGGGAGGCCTCATCTTGTGCCCATGGCAGGGATGGAGAGGAGCCCACCTTACTGTGCCTCAGCAGCCCCAGGCTTATCTGCTGAGCAGCAGCAAGTATGGGGAACTCACTACTTCTAGTGTTGGGTCTTGACCGAGTTCTGAGGAGCGAGCCCTGTGTACCCAGCTGTCACCTGCCTCCTGCCACTTCCACTCCAGGGTTTCCATTCCTTTTTGAGGCTCGGAGCACCCCTATGCCCCTGCTCCGCCCCTGTCTCCCATTCCTGTACCTGGCTCAGCTGGGCAGGAGCTGAGTCCCACAGTGACCAGTGACCCCTGGCTCCCATGCCCAGGGCTATTTCAGGGTCTGCCCTCTCCTTCCTCCTAGACACTGCCAAGGCCCTAAATATAGAGGCCAGACCAGGCCAGTGGTGACTGGGTATTTATTTATTTATTTCAGTACTGGGGTTAAACCCAGGGCCTCCCACCTGTGCTACATCCCCAGCTTTTTTTGAGACATGAGGTTAAGTCGCTCATCTGCCCGGGCTGGGCTAGAACTTTCCATCTTCCCGAGCAGATGTGTGTGCCGTGTGCCGCCACACTCTCAGCCCTCTCTTGACATGCCCCAAGCCCTGCTGTCCTGCACACCTGGGTCCTGTTCATTCACCGGGTGGGAGCTTAGCCCTGGGCCATGCTTCGCTGGAAGGAGGAACCGGGTGGGAGCTTAGCCCTGGGCCATGCTTCACTGGAAGGAGGAACCGGGATTCCTGGCCAGAGCCCCAGGCCAGGAGGCTGTAGCAGGGCAGAGGGGATGCTGTTGAGGGTACAGCCCAGCAGGGTCCCTGATACCTCAGCTGCCACTTAACATCTCCCTGCTTCCCAAGAGCTCCTTGTACAATACATGATCACCTACTGGGTCCTGCAGCCCAGCCCAGCTCATGGGGTGCACAGAGGCCCGTGCTTCCCCTCCCTGCTTTGGCTTTGGGCTGGGGTCCCAAACGGTGTTCCCAGGAGGCTCCGTGGAGGAGGAGGCCTTTGGGTCATGGCGCACAGTTGGAGGTCTTTACAGGCAGTGCTCACATTCACTGAGCGCCCCTCCCGTGACATCTTAGGGACCCAGGGCAGCTGGGCTCACAGTTCCCACTTTACAGAAGCCAAAACAGCCTTGGGGGAGATTTCCTGTCTGTGTCAGGAGGGCTTTTGGAGGTGGAACCCCGTAGCATCTGCGGGAAGAGCCCTCTAAAGGAATTGAGAAGTAGAAGCTAGAATTCCCCAGCTGTCTGCATGTAAATGCACTTCCTTTTTATGGAGGTTGGGCTGGAGGGACACTTCTAGACACATACACGCACACCTACCCTGCCTGGAGCCCCTCAATCCCCCCGAGTCCCACCACCCTGAGATAGGCAGACCCCAGAGACCTGGGCAGCAGGTTGCTGGACTCCTTCGTTTATTCCTTCATTCAGTCATTCACCCAGTAAGCACTTAGGGGACCGGTCTTGTGTCAAGCCCTGTCCTAGGCCTGGAGGAGCCAGAAATGGTCTCCACCCTCAAGTAGGTGAGGGAGGCAGCAGGTGACAGCCTCACGCTTCAGTTCCCAGTCCCAGGATGGGGAGAAACAGTGGGGAGAGGGATTTGGGGGAGCCCTTACTTCCTGACTCAGAGGCTGGGGGTTTTACCTTTTTTCTTTTTTTCAACTGTACTAGGGATTGAGCCCAAGGTGTCTGCACTGAGCTACATCCCCAGTCCTTATTTTATTTTATTTTTTTATTTTGGGAAAGAGTTTTGCTAAATTGATAACTTGCCCAAGCTGGGCTGGGATTTGCGATCTTCCTGCCTGCCTGTGCCACCACTCCTGGCTCAGGGGAATGTTCTTAAAAGAGGGTGCAGGGACAGCAGAGGTAAAGGCTCGGAGGGGCTTGTGAGAGTCTAGACCTTGGAGTTCAGGGTGGAGGTGCCCAGGGATGCCTAGGCTGTTGCTGGGACACAGTCTTAGGGTGGGGCAGGAGTGGGGAGAGTGGGCAGGAAAGAGGAGCAGCAAGTGGTGCCTGTACCTGAACTCCTGCCCATGGATGAGGAGCACCTGCCTCCCCCCACCCCGCTGAGGGTGGGGCACATATTCCAGCCTGAGGAGCCTTGGGGCTCCAGCCTAGCACCCCATGCTGCAGCCTTCACTATCTTCTTCTCTGGGGTCCTGGGACCCCCCCCACCAGCCCTGCCCCTTGCCTGTCTGTCCTACAGCACCGGAAGCAGCGACCCCTACTGCATCGTGAAGGTGGACAGTGAGCCCATCATCAGGTAGGAGCCCACCCGGGCCTGGGGCCGCCTCCGCTCACCCAGCCACCTGCTGTTCCTGGAGGAGCTAGGCAGTGACCCAGGCCCCTGTGTGCCCGGATGCACCCGCTAGGAGGTGACAGGGGCCAACTGTGTGTGGGGGTGCAGTTCGGTGGTAGAGTGCTTGCCTGGTGTGTGCGAGAGCCTGGGTTCCGTCCCCAGCCTAAGGAAGGAGAGACCGGCCTGTAACATCTTGCTAATTACCGACCTTAATGCCCGTCCAGGCATTAGCTCTTGCCTGCTGGGCGCCCGGCCAAGGGCCTCTCACCTGCCTCTGTTCATCTCTGCAGCCTTTGCACACCCCCACCCCCTGAGAGACAGATGATGGTGATTAGTCACCACAGCTATCATTTACGGGGCGTCGGCTCCGCTAGGCCAGTGCTGACCCTTTGCTGGCCCGTTTCATTCATTACAGTGAGCTGCACACGTTGTCATTAAACCCCACCGACAGACAGGAAACTGAGGCTCAGGCTGAATAACTTGTCCAAGGTCACACACTCAAGTAGTGGCACAATCAGAACTCAAGTCCCTTTTCCTCTGCCTGGCGAGTCCCACAGTGATTACCCCTCCGGCTGTTCGACCCTTCTCCTCACCGAAGGCAGCAAGTGGGGTCAGGGCATGGTAGCTCTGATCTTAATACAGATGGAGAAACTAAGGCCCCAGAGCCCACATGACCTGCTTGAGCAGCAGCAGGGGTGAAGGTGACCCCCTGCACCTTCATCTGGGCCCTTGGTGGCTTCATCTCCCCCAACGCATGTCCTACTGAGGCCCATGCCTTAAAGACTGATCTTGGGGCTTTGACTAGAGCTAGGTGAAGCCAGGGGGCCAGGCTTGTGGTCTTAGCTCTTCTACTGTCCTGCCCTGTGACTTGAGGCCAGTGCCTCCTAAATGTGGCCTTAGCTTCCCCAAGTGTAACATGCCCCATGCCCCATCTGCCCAGGGCAGAGAGGAAGAGCAGGAGCTGATGGATGGCTCCTGGGGATGGTGGGATCTGGGGTGGGGAAAAGCACCTCACAGCCAGTTGTTGCTGGGGGTGGCCAGGGCAAGTGCTGAGCTCCCCTCTTGCAGGACGGCCACTGTGTGGAAGACCCTGTGCCCCTTCTGGGGCGAGGAGTACCAAGTGCACTTGCCGCCCACCTTCCATGATGTGGCCTTCTACGTCATGGATGAGGATGCTCTCAGGTGGGTGTGTGGCCCAGGTGTGGCCGCCTGTGCCCCCCTGCTGCCTCTGGTCCCTGGGAGGGCTGTCACTGTGTGTGTGTGTGTGTGTGTGTGTGGACTTATCCACACGTGTGCCTGTGCGTGCAAACAGGCGCAGGTTTGTGTGGAAGCTTGAGCTGTGGAGTGACCCCCAGAGGGTGTGAGCTTGGCACATGTGCGGGCACGCATGCTGGTCCGAGTGCAGAGCCGCCCTGTGCCTGCGAGTGTAACAGTCCAGGACCGACAGCAGCATCATGGCCGGAGCTGCTTTGTGAGGGCAGGGGCCCCTGAGCAGTGGGAGGGCGTGCTGGGACCCCCCTGACTCCGCCCCTGCCCCCAGCCGGGACGATGTTATCGGCAAGGTCTGCCTCACGAGGGACACGCTGGCCTCACTCCCCAAGGGTAAGATCCCCTCGAACTCCCAGGCTCTCTGTCTGGCCTCCTGGTCCCCAAGCCCAGGGAAAGCCTTCTCTGGGCTCCAGGTGGGGATTGCACCTCCCTAGGGGGAAGAGGGGGTGCTAATGGTGGGATCTGAGGTTCCTGCAGACAGGAAGGGTCTTCCTGTGTGCCTTGCTAAGGTGGAGGGAGCCCTCCCAATCGGGGCCTGCCTGGGGCCCCGGGGCCCATCTGTCCTGGGCCTGAGGGGCTGGTGGCATTGGTCCAGGCTGGCAAGTCCCTTGGATTCTTCCAGGAACGCTCACCTTGCCTTGCTGTATGACCTTGGACAGGTCTTTGCCTTCCCTGGGCTCTGTCTTGGAGCCTGGGGACCCTCTTGTCAGCTCCCAATGCACACCTGCTCCTGTGTGTGAGGCTGGGCCTGGCATGGGAGCTCGGCGGGCTCTGCTGACTCACGGAGCCTCTGTCCTGCCATCCCTCTGGGGTGCAGGCACCCCAGTGATCATGTTCTTTGGCCTCCCTGGAACCTTCCCAGCCTGGGCATCAGGCCCTGCTCCCAGCAGCCCCGGCAGTGCTACTGGCCTCCTGTTTTGAAGTGGGGAAACTGAGGATAGAGAGGGCAGCCCCATGATGAGTTAGGGTCAGGGCATCAAGTGCAGCACAGCAGGACAGTGGGGCACAGGCCAGGGACCCAGATTCAGATTCTAATCCCAGCTGTTCTCACTGCTGCTGCTCTGGGCCTCGCTGTCCCCAGTGATAGCACCCCTTCACTCATAAGTGCTCGGGAGGGTTCCTGGAGTGGCAGAGGCTGGGGGTAGAGGATGTGTGGGGGACCAGCCAGGTCCCCCTGAGCCGCAGCCCTGCAGGTTTCACCGGCTGGGCCCACCTGACTGAGGTTGACCCGGACGAGGAGGTGCAAGGCGAGATCCATCTACGGTTGGAGGTGCTGCCAGGGGCCCGGGGCTGCCGGCTGCGCTGCTCTGTACTGGAGGCCAGGTGAGGAGTGGGGCCTGGGGAGCTTCCTCCACTTCTGGGGCCTAGGGCCTCTCCCCACCAAGAGAGGGTCTGGGAAGTGGGTGTGTTCGTGCACACCTGTTATCCCAGCACTCTAGGGGAGGAGGCAGGAGGATCCCAAGTCGAAGCCCAACCTGGGCAGCGTAGTGAGCCTATCTCAAAGTATAAAAAAGGGCTGAGGATGTAGCTTGGTTCAAAGGCCCTGGATTCAGCCCTGGTAAAACACACACACACGCACGCACGCACGCACGCACGCACGCACGCACGCACACACACACACACACACACGGCCCAAGGAGCTTGTCCTGACTCAGACCTGTTTGGGGACCTCTGTTCAGGGACGTGGCCTTTGGGGAGGGCATGCTGTTCTGATGGTGGAGCTGCAGGTACACAGGGCATGGGGCACGGGGTGCAGGGGACCCTGAATTGTGTGAATACAGCTCCACTGCCTTCCCCTGGGTTAACCCCAGTGTAACCCTGGGGTGCATGTGTGTGCTCACACGTGTACGGATCCTTGGGGGTGGGGTGTAGGGTGAAAAGAGTTGCTGAAAGTCTCCAGCCTGGGGTTGGGGCAGTGGCTTCCATGGCTCTGTGGGCCTGAGTCACCTATGACAGGGCCACCCTCAGCCCCCAGGGTATTTTTAGCTACAGCCCCACTCCTGTCTGGGTCAGGGTGTGAGTCATACCTTGTCCGTGAGAGGCGCCTTCCCTTCAGGCTCGAGACCCCCTCCCAGGCCCCCCTCCCAGCCAGCACCCCTGGGGCCAGTACCCCTCACCCTGGCACAGTTACCCGTCCAGGAGGAAGATGTCTCCCCTGCACATGCGGAGTGTGGGGTGGGTGATGGATGTCTTGAGCGTCCTGTCTCCTCCCCACCCTTTACTTTCTGTCTGAAGGCGGGGTGGTGGAAACCTCGGAGCTAGGGCAGAGCGGCAGTCCCACCCCCATGCTCTCCGGCCCAGCCCTGCCCTTGGCTCCCTGTTCTCAGCCTTGCCTGGCACCGAAGTGTCCGGGGCATAGGTGTGCACAAGTGTGCACACACTGCGGGGCCCTGGCACCATGGAGATGGGACTAGAGCACACTTGCCCCAGCCTCCCCTCCTCCAGGACCTCCTCTCTGCCCTCTTCTCTCAGCACCGTCGGGCACACAGTGGCAATCTGGCCTCTCCTGAGGAGCCCTGGCCTCTCCTCAGGGCGAGGGGAAGGGGGACTTGTTCCCTGTCGTCCTTGGCCCTGAGAGCCTGCTGGGACCTTGAGAAACTTCATTTGAGAAACTTTCATTGAGAAACCTAAGAAACTTCATTTGCTGTAAAGGAAGCAAAAACACTTTCTCCTGACCATTCTTGGTCAAACTGCCTGAAACCAAACCTTGAAGGTTTTTTTTTTGGTACCGGGGATTGAACTCAGGTCCTTGCACTTGCACAGCAGGAGGCCAAACCACTGAGCTAAATCCCCGGCCCCTAAACCTTGAAGTTTTAATAGTTGGGTGTGTGTGTGTGTGCGCGCGCGCACGCGTGTGTGTGTGCAGTGCTGGGGATGATCTCAGGGCATCCTGCGTGCTAGGGAAGCATTGTACCACTGCAGCCTCAGCCCCTTAGACAGTTTTAAGGGAGGGAAGAAAAAGCCAGGCGTGGTGGTGCACACCTGCCAGCACTCTGGGAGGCTGAAGCAAGAGGATCACAAGTTCCAGCCCAGCCTGAGCAGCTTAGTGATTTAGTGTGACCCTGTCTCAAAAAGGGGCTGGGAATGCAGCTCAGAGCATAGGGCTCTGGGTTTGTTCCCCAGTATCTGGGCAGGGGGACGGGGGCTGAAAGGCAAATGAGCAGCTTAAATTAAAAATATGGAAAAGGAGGGCTGGGGATTTAGCTCAGTGGTTCCGGCATCTGCCTCGCAAGAGCAAGGTCCAGAGTTTGATCCCTGGTACCAAAAGAAAGAAAAAAAAACCCCAAAAAATATGGAAAAGGAAATGGTCAGAAAATAATAGAGATAAAGGCAGGGTGGGCTGTGTTGCTTTTCCTCAGGGGGCTGCTGGAGCCGATTTGGACTTGGCAGACACCCACCCCTAGCGGGGACACTCCTGGGTTAGCGCTACCTCCATAAACCTCAGAGGCGGAGGGATTATCTTCTCCATTACACTGAAGGGGAAACTGCCAGGGGCCCCAGGCGACAAGCGGGTAATCTCTGTCCCCATCATGCCACCAGGGACCTAGCCCCAAAGGACCGGAATGGTGCATCTGACCCTTTTGTCCGAGTGCGCTACAACGGCCAGACACGGGAGAGCTCGGTGAGGGGGCTGGTGGGCTGGGAGGGGGCACGAGCCCCGGGGACCCTCACCCGGCCCTGTCCTAGCTGCTCACCTCCTCACCCTCGCCTGCACGGTCGGGGATCAGGTTGGAACCACAGTCTTTCGGAGGAGCCCTCTGGCTCCAGCCCTCTTCTTGCCTAGCCATCCTGGAGGGGCAGGGAGAGGCACAGACAGCTGGAGCGGGGGTCACCTGCACGGCCCAACAGCTCCCCTCTCATCACTTCAGGGAACAGCCTGGGCAGTGGGCACAGTTGCAGGTGGGATTGAGATATAGGTTCTCAGTGGAGCTGCTGTTTTGCTGTGCCCTTGGACAAGTCTGTTCCCCACTGTGGGCCTCAAATTCCCCATCTAAAGCTGGGCCTGGTGGTGTACACCTGTAATCCCAGCACTCAGGAGGCTGAGGCAGGAGGATTGCCACGAATTGAAAGCCAGTCTGGGCTACATTGTTCAAGGTTCAGCTTGAATTACCTAGCCAGACCCTGTCTCAAAAAATAAAAAGAGTCCCTTTATGAAATGTGTGAACTCCTCGCAGAGCCAGTGGAGGTGTTTTGGAGACTCTGACCTTACCTGGGCTCAGGGAGCCTAGTGGAGTGAGTCCTAGTCCCACCAGCCCCTCTCTGGGCAGGTGGTAAAGAAGTCCTGCTATCCACGCTGGAACGAGACGTTTGAATTTGAGCTGGAGGAGGGGTCCACAGAGGTTCTGTGTGTGGAGGCCTGGGACTGGGACCTGGTCAGCCGAAATGACTTCTTGGGGAAAGTAAGCAACACCCCACCCCCACCCCTGCATGCAGGCTGCACCTGCCACAGCTGGTGTCCTCAGGGACCTCCCTCCATTTCCCCTGAGGACACTCAGGCAGCCTGGCCCTCCCAGGACTAGCAGCGGTGCCCCACTGCCACCTGGGCTCAGGGGCCCTTGGAAGGTGCCCTTCCGCCTTAAGAGGTCAGCGTCCCCACCCTGTCCGCCTTGCCTGCAGGTGGTAGTCAATGTCCAGAGAGTGCGTGCAGCCGAGCAGGAGGAGGGCTGGTTCCGGCTGCAGCCCGACCAGTCCAAGAACCAGCGGGCTGAGTGAGTGTGTGGCTTGTCAGCGGGCCCGGGGTGGAGAGGGTGAGGCTTGAGAGTTGGCGGCTGGTGGGGTCAGGGGGCAGGGGTTGGAGGTCAGGCATGTGGCCCTATGTTTCCTGCAGCCCTTGCTTGGCAGGCCAGTACCCTTCTCATGCAGCTGGGACCCACCTGTCTCCTTTTCCACAGTCCCACTGTATCAGCCTTGTCCTCTGAGCTCCAGGACCATGCTAGTCTGGTTCCTCCCTTCTGGCAGGTTTAGAACAAGCCCTCAGATGCTTTCCGTCCAGGTTCCCTGCAGACCTCAGAGCCAGGGTTCCCTTCCCAGGGTCATTGTCTCTGAGCATAGCTCTGATGCTCCTTCCCCGAGATTCCCCAGGAATAGGGCTGCCAGGTGAAAGATGGGACCCCCAGTTAAAACAGTTTCAAGCCAAGTGTGGTGGTGTGCACCTGTAATCCCAGGTGCTCTGGAGGCTGAAGCAGGAGGATCACAAGTTCAAGGCCAGCCTGCGCAACTTAGCAAGACCCTGTCCCAAAATTTAAGAAAAGGACTGGGGGGTGTAGCTTAGTTAAAGCACTTGCCAAGCATGTGTGAGGCCCTGTGTTCAATCCCCCGGGCTGTGAAACAAAACAAAAACCCCTGAATTTCGGATAAATACTTTCTCAGTGTAAAATGATCATGCAATATTTGAGATGTACTGGAAACGTTGGCCTGCTTATGTGTCCCCATGTCCCCTTAGATGGTTTGGTTTTGGCTTCTTGTAGAAGGCCCCAGGCCCCCATCACACCCTTAACAGGGCAGGGGTGGGTGGCCGGGTGTGGGTCCCACAGAAGCCAGCTCTGAAGAGGCAACCCAGGGCCACCTTGATGGCTTGTGGCGTGCATGAGCTCCTGGGATGTGTGGAGGGGAGCAGGGGTAGTGGGGAATGGTGGCCTTGGACACCCTCACCCAGAGGTCAGAGCAAGGAATCCTGCAGGTTAGATCTGCTGTGGCAGGTTGCTTAGCCTGCCCAAGACTCAGTTTCCTTGGCAGGTTTTCCTTCTCTTTGTTCCCTTCATCCCCTCCCTCCCTCCTTTCTCTTTTTTTCTTTCAGTACCCAGCCCTTCCCCCTCTACTTTTAAAATTTTGAGACAGGGTCTCACTAAATTGCTAAGTTGTCCAGGCTACACTTGAACTTGAGATCCTTCTGTCTCAGCCTCCACGGGTGCTGGGATTACAGGTGTGCACCACCATGCCCAGCCCTGGCAGGTTGTACAAGGGCTAGGAAACTGCATGCAGACAAAAGGGTACACAGGAAGGTATTGTTCTCTGGGAGCTTATTTTTTGCAGTCTGAGGATGGAACCTAGGGCCTCTTCCATGCTGGGGAAGCACTCTACCACTGAGTTCCACACAGTGCTGCCCCATCCCGCTGTTTACAGATCCAAGGTCAGGGAGCCTTGCATGCCCATTGGAGTCAAGCTTGGGGTCCACAGGAGTCTAGAAGCAGCAGGGAGCCAGGCCTTGAAAACAGATGGAGTTTCCATGAGCCCTGAGGCAGGAAGGGCCTTCCAAATAGAGAAAGCAGCACAGCAGGGCAGCTGGAGGGCAAGAGAAGAGATGCTCTGAGCTTGGACGGAGGGGTGAAGACCAGGGGAGTTTGAGGGGGCGAGCCCCAGGGCGGCCTGGGTCCACGGTGGAGAGGTCATGGGCTGCCTGTTCCAGGGGCAACCTGGGCTCCTTGCAGCTGGAGGTTCGGCTGCGGGACGAGACAGTGCTGCCCTCCAGCTGCTATCAGCCCCTGGTGCAGCTGCTGTGCCGGGAGGTGAAGCTGGGCACCCAGGTGAGGGTGCAGTGGGGGCAGGTGGGAGGGCCCAGGGCTGGTGGACCTGGCCTCCCTCTCCTTCTGAACCCATCCTGCAGAGCATCAAACAGTTGTAGGCCTGGTAAGCCACTGTCCCAGTTCAGGGCCCTACCCCTTCCCATGGTGCTCTGAGATCCTCCACAGGGGGCCGCTTCTCTCCCTGCTGACTCCTGCAGGGTCCAGGGCAGCTGATCCCTGTCATCGAGGAGACCACCAGCACTGAGTGCCGCCAGGAGGTGGCCACCAACCTGCTCAAGCTCTTCCTGGGGCAGGGGCTGGCCAAGGAGTTTCTGGATCTGCTCTTTCAGCTGGAGCTGGGCCGCACCAGTGAGGCGGGGAGCGGTCCCGGGAGGGTGGAGGGGGCCTCCTTAGAAGGCTGATGGTTCCCCTAGGAGTGAGGCTGGCAAAGAGAAGGGGCAGAGGTGGGATAGGATGAGGTACTGAGGAGGGCCTTTATGTACTGGGGGGCTACTTAGAACCCCCAAAGTCCTCTGTCGTCCTTCCTGGAAAGCCTTGCCTAGCTGCCTCTAACTGCTCCTGTGCTTGTAGGTGAGGCCAACACCCTGTTCCGGAGCAACTCTCTGGCCTCAAAGTCCATGGAGTCTTTTCTGAAGGTGAGGTGCATGGTGGATGTTACCCCTCCCTTATAGATGATGACACTGAGATGCAGAGAGGCCCCTTCTGTCGCAGTGTCCAGAGCCCTTGAAGGCCAAGGATTTCATTCAGTATGGAGAAGCAGTTTGTTTCTTTATTTGTTTTGGTACTGGGCATCAACCGCAGGACCTTGCCCTTTCGAGGCAGGCGCGGTGCCACTAAGCTAAATCTCGGCCCGAGAAGCAGTTTGTTGAGGCACCTGGTTGTGTACCAGGCCTTGTCCCGGGCGGACACTGCAGGCAGATGGTGCACGGTGCGGCTGGGAAGGTCAGCTGCTGGGAGGTGATGCACAGGGGAGGCGGGAGACTGACTAGTGCGGCTCGCGGTGGCCCCCAGGTGGCAGGGATGCGGTATCTGCACGGCGTCCTGGGCCCCATTATTGACAGGGTGTTCGAGGAGAAGAAGTACGTGGAGCTGGACCCCAGCAAAGTGGAAGTTAAGGATGTAGGGTGAGCCCGTGGTAGCAAATCAGATTGATCTGCAAGTGTGTGCTTCTGGCTTTCTGCCTGGGTTTACCTGTCATTGCTTTGCCCACTTTTGCGATGTCTGTGTCCGTGTCTTAGCTAATACCTTTCAGCGTTTGCATCCCTGGGAGCCCTCATCTGCTACGACGTGTGTGTAGGCCCTGATTGCGCACCTCTGACCCCCCACCCCACCCCACCCTTCCCGCGCAGGTGTTCCCGGCTGCATCGTCCACAAAGCGAGGCCGAGGTGCTGGAGCAGAGCGCGCAGACGCTGCGCGCCCACCTGGGGGCACTGCTGAGTGCTCTCTGCCGCTCGGTTCGCGCTTGTCCAGCTGTGCTCCGCGCCACCTTCCGCCAGCTGTTCCAGCGAGTGCGCGAGCGCTTCCCTGGCACACAGCATGAGGTGCGCCCCCTTCGGGCGGGGCCCGGGCAGAGGGGCGGGCGAGGGGTCCCAAAGGCGAGTGGAGCCGGGATCATTCAGAAAGGTGGGGAGGAGGCTGGCAGGGACCCAAGCCTGGGGGATTCCAGCCTCCCTTTCCGCTCCCCTCCAGAACGTGCCTTTCATCGCTGTTACCAGCTTCCTGTGCCTGCGCTTCTTCTCTCCCGCCATCATGTCGCCCAAGCTCTTCCACCTGCGCGATCGCCACGCAGACGCCCGCACCAGCCGCACCCTGCTCTTGCTGGCCAAGGTGCGGCTTGCGGACAGGGCTCGGGTGGCCAGCTGCGTGTAGCACAGGGGCCTGGGCTGGACTGCTGTGCCCGGCTCTGCAAAGGCCTTGCCTGGAACTGCACTTTACAAGGCTTTCTCGTGGTTGCCTCCGCTAAACCCGTCTCAGAGATAAGGGAACAGGCTCCCAAGGAGACAGAGGTAACCCTACGCCAGTCTGGTGAATCCGGGGCCTCCAACCTCGGGCTCCAGACGCTCAGGCTGCACCTCTTTGCCCAGCACCGGGATGGGCTCCCCAGTGCAGCAAAGTCTGTATTAAACCTGTGGAGGAGCTGGGTGGTGTGCACAGCTGTAATCCCACCAGTCTGGAAGGCTGAGGCAGGACACTTGAAAGCCTGGGCAATTTACTGAGACAGTGTCACAAAATAAAAAATTAAAGTGCTGGGAATGTAGCTCAGTGCAAAGGTCCTAGGTTCAGTTCTCAGTACTGCAAAACAAAATCCTGTAGAGGAAGGTCAATAGGTTGTGCTCAAATGACCTCATTGATCAGATCGCATTGAAGGCCTCAGTGCCATGATCCATTCATTCCTGATCCCCTGTGGACCTGGGGATATGCCTATGGGGAAGTGCTCTGCTGCCTCTGCCTCCATCTCTATAGCTGGGGTGCAGTGCACCCACAAAGCCTGGTCCTTACGGTTGTCACCTGCAGGCAGTCCAGAATGTGGGCAACATGGACACGCCGGTTGCCAGGGCCAAAGAGGCCTGGATGGAGCCGCTACAGCCTACTGTGCGCCAGGGTGTGGCGCAGCTGAAGGACTTTATCACCAAGCTCGTGGACATCGGGGAGAAGGAGGGTGAGCGCATCCCTGCACAGCCCCACCCCAATGCCTCTGTTTACTGGGTTATGGCTCCACCAGTCTCCAGTTTGCTCTGACTTGGCCCATGGCTCCTCCCACTTCTGTCAGTATCACTCATGGGTTGGCCCACCCACTGCCCAGGTCTGCTGTTCAAGGTTGCTTCGACCTGGGCCCCTCATCCTCACCTTCTTGGCTCTCATTCTGCCCTCCCTCCTGGGCCCACAGAGCTGGACCTGCAGCGGACTCTGAGTTTGCAGGCGCCCCTGGTGAAGGAGGGGCCGCTCTTCATCCACAGGACCAAGGGCAAGGGCCCCCTTGCATCCTTCTCCTTCAAGAAGCTCCACTTCTCCCTCACCACTGAGGCCCTCAGCTTCGCCAAGACACCCAGCTCCAAGGTGGGTCAGGAGGGAGGCTGGCTGATGGGGTGTCCAGCCGTAGCTCAGCCATATGTATATGGGGAAAGTGTCTCCCTTGTAAATGTGGGTTAGGGGCCCCCACTTTCCATGCTGCTGACACTGAGTTGAGATGGTCTTTGTGCATGTCCTCAGCCAAGGCCTGGCACATGGCATGAGCTAGACACATGGCATTGATGGAGGCGCTTTGTCTCCAGGCTGCTCCCTTTTGAGCTCTCTTCCCAAGAAGGGTGGGGACCTCTTTCTGGGCTACCTGGACCCCAGGCGTCTAGGCTTGGGGTGCTGTGCAGTGTGCTCAGCCCACCTGAGCAGGCGAGTGTGGCACGGGAGAGGTGAAGGAGCTAGCTTGTCAGCCCCTGGTCTCAAGCCAGCCTAGGGGTCCCGCCAGATGAGGGGACCCCTCGAGCTGCTGTTACACAATTTTGCCACCTAGGCATTATTTAATTCTGGCCCCCAGTTGCCCATCATCAGTCTGTGAAAGCCAGTCAGGTATTGTGACTAGGACACTCGAGCCACTGTTGTGATGTCCACCCTGCTGCCACCAGGGGAAGCCCCCCTCCTGCAAGGGGCTCCAGTGTGACCTGCTGGGAGCCGCAGCTGTCCACTCACACCTGCTCTTCCTCTCCTGTCTCACCAGATTGCTCGTGTCATTCCCACACACAGGAGTGCAGTCACATGCCAGGTTCTCCCCGAGTGCTGCCTGGCCTTGGGGTCCCCACAACTGCCAGGGGAAGGAGGAAGCCTGGGGCCACCAGGGAGGCAGGAATCCCGAATCCTAGTGCTGGAAGGGATCGCAGAGATCTTGTCTGGGTCGCAGATCACCTCACCAAGATTCCTGAAAGTCTACATCTCTGACGACAGGGCGCTCACTATGGCAAACATAGCTTATTCCATCTGTAGCTCTCTGTTAGAAAGTTCTTTATGCCTAGCATGGTGGTGCCTGCCTGTAATCCCAGCACTTGGGAGGCTGAGGCAGGAGGATTGTCAGTTCAAGGCCAGCCTGGGCTACATAGTGAGACCGTGTTGAGAGAGAACAGAAAGAGATTGATTTACCTTGAACTGAAGTCAGCTTTCTGTGGTTTTCTCCTCTGATCTCTGCTCGGTTCCTCTGCCCTCATGTGGCAGAGACCACAGGCCCAAGTGTGGTCTCCAGAACCCCAGAACCCCTGAGCTTTTTACTTATTCCCCTAGGGATGGATACCAAAGCCCCTTTCTCTGTCTTCCTGGCCTACTTTAATTTTCCAAGGCCCCTCTTAGACTGTGGTCTCCAGAACCGTGCACAGCACCATGGGCATTATTGGAACACTGAATAGCAGGATAGGCCGGTGGTAGTGAACCTATGGCATGAGTGCCACAGCAGGCTGTTTATTATCATTGAAAGCTGTAAAAGTTTTGCCATCACTGGAATAGGCAGTCACTTCCCTGCTTCCGGTCACTATACTTGTGTTAATATAGTATCTTTTTTGTTACTATATCTCACAGTGGAGTTACATTCAGTCTTCTAAAGCCCAAGTGATTTTTTTTTTTTTGGTACTGGGGATCGAACTCGGGTCCTTGCACTTGCGCAGCAGGCTGCGAAACCACTGAGCTAAATCCCCAGCCCCTCAAGTGATTTTTTATTTTTCTCTAAAAATAGTAGTTATGGTGGTGCATGCCTGGAATCCCAGCATGGGGGCTGGAGGCTGAGGCAGGAGAATTGCATTGAGTAAGACCCCATCTAAAGAAGAAAAACCTCAAAATACTAGAGCTTAGTATTTGTTCCTCTTATTTGTTTTCTGGTATTAGCCCTTCACGCTGAGCTATATCTCTAGCCCCCTATTTTACTATTTATTTATTTGTTACCAGGGATCGAACTTGAGACCTTGCGCTTTCGAGCCATGTGGTGGAACCACTGAGCTAAATCCCTGGCCCCTTACTTTTTATTTTGAGACAGGGTCTTGCTAGTGGCTCAGTTGCCCAAATTTCCATCCTCCTGCCCCGGCCTCCCAGAGTGCGAGGATGACAGGTGTGGACCACCGCATCCAGCTGTAGCTCCAGTATTTATTTCTCTTAAACTTGCTCTTGTTTAAATCAGCCCCCAGCTCTGCTGGCTGAGATCTGGCCAGGCCACACCCCGGGTCCTTCCCAGGTCACAGATGAACCTGGTGCTTGAGGCGGAGCGCCATCCTGTCACCCTTCATGGTGGTGCACATCTCCACGGTGTGACTTGGCTGCAAAGGAAACGTGCTTAGGGGAGAAGGCCCCAAGTCCCTGTGAGTGCTCACAGCCTCCCCTCCAGCTGTGTCCCCTTGGGGAGTCACAGGTGTATTTGCCCAGCTCTGGCTCATTCTGCACTTCTCCCATGCCTGCGATTTTTTGGACTGTTTTTCTGCCCCCACATATGAGTGAGAACGCACAACTCTTGCATCGTATCCCATTGTAACGGCCTCTCTATGTCAGCACAGCCTCCCCCTCACCTCTGCTCACCTCTGGTCCCTCACTGTGTGCTCGCCCCTGCCCCTCGTCACCCTCCCCTGGCAGCGCTCTTCCCAGGAGTCTGGTTGGAAGCAGGTCTCTGCTGGTCCTCACGGGCTGACTGCTCACTGACCAGTTCTTTAGTGCAGGGTCCCCTGGGTACTTTCTGCATCCTCAGCCGAGCCTCATCCCATGATAGTGCCCTGTCCCCCCAAGTCTGGCCCACCTCGTGCTCCTTGGCATGAGCTCTGCCCTTCCCTGGACACGTCCTGTGGGTGCCTGTGCAGCACTGCCCGTCTCTTCTGCCTCCCCTTTGTCCTTTGGCAGATCCCACCCCAAAACAGCTCAGAGGTGTGCCCCACAGCTTCCAGGAGAGGGTGCCTCTGCTTGTCACTGAGGCCTGGGGGCCCATGAGCCTGGATGGCAGGCTGGGGAGCATGGTGTTATCCTTAGGCCCATAGGGACCCCTTGTTCTGATGGGAGAGTATTCAAGAGGCAAGCAGAGGCCAGGTGTGGTGGTGCACACCTGTAATCCCAGCACTTGGGAGGCTGAGGCAGGAGGATTTCTGGGACTTCAAGGCTAGCCTGTGCTACATAGTAAGTTCAAGGGTACCCTGAACTACAAAGTGAGACCCTATCTCAAAAAAACAAAAAGAAGAAAGAGGCAAGGTAAGGAAGGGGTTTGGGCTAAAGCTCAGTGGGAGAGCACTTGCCTAGTATTTTGATCCCTGGGTTTGACCCCCAGCACTGCAAAAAAAGGAAAAAGGGAGAGGGTTGCAAGGGAGACATTGATTTGGCTTTGGCAAGTTGGGGGTCCCTCAGGAAGGGGGGTGTTTCGATCCACAGCATCTTTCTGTCATATGACTTTCAAGCCCAGGAAAGCAGAGGCCAGTTAGAAAATTAATCAGTGCACAGGGACAAGCCAGGTCCCAGCAGGAAGGGCTTGGAGACCTGGGAAACAAACCCAGTGTCCTTCCTCATTCTGAAGCTCAGGCCTCTGGGGCCGGCTCCACCCCTCCCAGGGCCTGGGCGCTTGGTCACCATCTGTCAGGGCTGTGTCCTGGCTTAGGTCGCTCACAGAGTCCTCTGGGTCCCCAGCCAGGCCGGGTGCTGCCGGGAAGGGGAGCCTGAGGCCCAGAGGCAAGGGGAGCTGCCCTGAGCCTCCCCTCCCCTGCTCACCCAGAAAAGCATCTTCATCAAGCTGGCCAACGTCTGTGCAGCAGAAAAGGTGGAGGAGAAGAGCTTCGGCAGCTCACACGTCATGCAGGTCATCTACACGGACGACGTGGGCCAGCTGCAGACCGCCTACCTGCAGTGCAAGGTGGGGCGGGCAGGGGCCTGGAGGAGGAGCCGTCTTCCACCCCCTGCTGGCCACACTGGGTACAGCAGGGTGTATCTGCTCCCAGTGTGTGGTCTGTGTTTGTGGAGGGGTAGTCTTTGTGTGTCCCAGTACCTAAATGCACATGTCCCAGTGATTTGGACTTTGCATGTTGCACCATTTGTGAGAAATTGTATTTCCAAGTGCCCGAGCCAGTATCCGTGTTTCTGTGTGTGTACCAACATTAATAATCACACATTCATGCTTGTGTGGGGCTCTGGTATGTTCCCAGATAGCCTGCTCCTCTGCTCATCACTGTTGTTACTCATTCATTCATTTAAGACTATCCATTGAGGAGCTGGGTGGGGTGGTGCAGGCCTGTAATCCCAGTACTCTTAGGAAGCAGAGGCTGGAGGATCACAGGTTTGAGCCCACCTGGGCAACTTGGTGGTTTAAGACACTGTCTCAAAATACAAATGAATTTAAAAAGAGCTGAGAGTGTAGCACAGTACAAAGGCCCTGGGTTTCATCTCCAGTACTGAAAAACAAAAAAATTTGAGGGTTTAGGGATATAATTCAGTAGCAGAGAATACGTTTATCATGTTCTATTGCCGTCACTCAAAAACATAGATGTGCACACAAATATAGATGTTCCTCGTTTAATGACCTACCTGCTTAATACTGTTCAGACTTGCGAGTGAGACAGGCTGTTCAGATTTATAACCCATCTTTTCTTTTTCTTTTTTGGTACCCGGGGTCAAACTCGAGACCTTGAGCTTTTGAGACAGGCAGTGGCACCACTGAGCTAAATCCCTGGCCCTGACCCACCTTTTTTTGGTACAGTTGTGTAGATCTTGTTTATAGACTCTCAATGTCCTTTCTTATACCTAGTTTATACAGTAGTAATTTTAGCTACTGTACAGAACTGTGGTGTTTTTTTTTTTTCAGTACCAGGGATGGAACTCAGGACCTTACACTTGCAAGGCAGGTGCGGTGCCACTGAGCTAAACCCCTGGCCTAGTACTGTAGCTTTATGTCCTGTTATACATCACAGTACTGCATGGGAGAGATAGGCAAATAAAAGCAAAGTCATCACGTTGGAGTTTCCTTTGACCATTTGTTCTGAATACTGTGACATATGTACTATATACAGTTCCTTATGTAGTGGTCCTCATTCGATGACCTTTTCATAGGAATGGAACTTGGTTGTTAAATGAGGAACACATGTGCTATGCATATACAGAGTCCACCAAAAAATATATCAGGAAAAGAAAAACTTGTATAAATAATTTAATACTAAATCTATTGAGGCATGACGAGATTAATACAAGTTACTTTTGGCCTTTACAATTACAAGAGGTGCTCAAAGTGGTGGCCATTAGCTTCCAGACATTTATTAATATGGTGAACTGCTGAAGTTGTGTATACATATATATATCTTTGTGGATTCTGTATATACTTATACAGTGGTACCTTGGTTCACACACACTTTTGTTTGTGAACAATTTGGTTTCCAAGGGCTGGGGATTTAGCTCAGTGGTTCCGCCGCCTGCCTTGCAAGCAGAAGGACCCAAGTTCAATCCCCGGTACCAAAAAAAGAAAAAAAAATAGGTTCGCAAATAGGTGTGTGGCAAAATTTTGTTTTTGTTTGCAAACTCTGCAATGGATGACAGACATGACTGCTGCCATTTTTCTGGCATGAACACAAATGTGGACATCTTTTCCAAAATCGTGGAACAAATTATGTTCATGAATCGAGGCACCACTGTATATGTATACACATATGTATATATAAAGAAGCTGCTAGGTTCTGGGCACAATTCTAGGTGAGGTATGCAGTGGTAGAGTCTCTGCCCTCATGAAGCTTGTATCTGATGGGAGAAGATGGACCAATGAATACTTTGGGGTTTTTAGTATATGTGCTGCCGAAGCGAGCACAATATTTTGGGGTTTTTTTGTTTGTTTTTTCCAGTACTGGGGATCGAACTCAGGACCTTGTGCTTGCCAGGCAGGCGATGTGTCACTGAGCTAAATCCCCGGCCCCTTGTTTGCTTTTTGAGACAGGGTCTGTCTGTATAGTTCAGACTGGCCTTGAATTCACCATGTAACCTAGACTGGCCTTGAACTTGGGGCAATCCTCCTGCCTCAGTTCCCTAAGTATTTTGGAAGAGACCAAAGGGTACTTGGGGGGGCTGCCTTAGGGTGGGCAGGGGGGACTTCTGATATGTGGCATTAGAACGGCGACATGGTGAGGGGTGAGGCAGGCATGTATCTGGGACAAGGACAAGGACAAAGAAGCAGGAAGGCTGAGGCACAGGGGCTTGGCTTCTTCCCAGGTGTGACAGTTCCGGGCCCTGGGAGAGGAGGTCACTGACTTTGGGGGACCCTGACTGCTAGGGCTTCCCCTTGGGGTCAGAGTCCAGAGCCACAGAGAACAGGTGACAGCAAGGCCACCACATGCAGCAGGCAGGTGCTGGGGTGCCCGGAGGCTCTGCTTACCAGGCTGTGCCCATGGATTTGGAGCCATGGAGGGGTGGGGGGGGTGTGGGCTAGGAGGGCAGCTTCTGGGGGTGGTGACCATGCTGTCCCCGCAGTGTGTGAACGAGCTGAACCAGTGGCTGTCTGCACTGCGGAAAGTGAGCATCAACAACACCGGCCTGCTGGGTTCCTACCACCCTGGTGTCTTTCGTGGGGACAAATGGAGCTGCTGCCACCAGAAGGACAGGACAGGTGGGAGCCCTGGGGACCCAGGCTGAGGAGAGCCCGCCCTCCGGGTACTCTGGGCACACGGGCTCCAAGCTAGGCAGAAACAACATGTGCAATGCGCATGAGTGAATCTGCTGAGGCCTGAAGACCCATTAGAATCCCATTTTGAAGGCTTCTCATCCAGCATTCCCAGATGCATCTGGCAGGGCCCCTGGGGACCCTGATCTTGCAGAGAAGCTTCTTGTGTGACAGGTATTCTGAGCAGGGCACTTGAGGGAGACCTGGCTAGTGGGCCCCAGAGCACCTATGCTGCCACAGTCCCGCATTGAGACAGGGCTGGGCAGGAGGGCACTGTGGGCCATGGGCACCAGAAGTTGGGAGGAAGTGGCTCCTGGAACTCTTGGTGGCAATGGAAGTGGTGGACATTAATGTGGTCTGATATTCTAGCCACTTGCACGCCTGGCTTGAGTGTGTCAGTGTGTCTTGTGTCCAAGGAACTGGGATCTAAATTTTCTAAGTTTTAATTTAATTTTTTTTTTAATACCAGGGATCAAACTCAGGACCTTGTGCTTTCAAGACA